CATTTTACAAAAAAGAATTCGAGATAAATCTATTCTTGGGAACGTCTAAAATTGGTGTGCGTTACCCAAGCCAGATGTCGAAAATGGTCATTTGAATCTTGTAGATATATTAGTTGTGTGGCTTCTGTAATTGTTGCGCACATTTTTAAATTTGTTGCGCTTATGTATAGTTTTTTATTTATTTCACAAAAACATTTCCTGCTGGGGTAACGTTACCCCAGCCAGACCGTTTACTTTCTAATGGAAATATTTAATGATTTTGACTGCACGGTTGGCGCGGTGGCTGGGCAACTGGCTACCGCGCAACGTGTCGCGGGTTCGATTCCCGCACGGAACAACTCTTTGTGTGATCCACAGATTGTTGTTCCGGGTCTGGGTGTCATGTGTATGTGATATTGTATGTTTGTAAACGCACCCAAGATACAGGAGAAAATACTAGTGTGGGGCAACGTTTTTAAAAAAAAAAATATAAACTAAACAACTAATTATTGACATAACATTCAGTTCATATTATATCCAAGCCAGTGGCCAAATAACAAAAATAGGTTTTTATTGCACAACAAATTTAAACTAATTCCCAAGAAGCCATGTACAAAATATGATAAAAATCCGCTTAACTATTTCAAAGATCTAGGAAAATCAAAAACGTTACCCTAGCAAAATATCGAATAACTTCGCAACTGATGAAAGAATAAATACAAAACAAGGCACAACATTTACTTCATCTAGACAACTAATTTTATAGCTAGTAGTATTATTTAAATATTCCCGTTAGAAAGAAAAAGGTCTGGCTGGGGTAACGTTACCCCAGCAGGAAATGTTTTTGTGAAATAGTTACAAAACTATAAGCGCAACAAATTTAAAAATGTGCGCAACAATTACAGAAGCCGTACAACTACATCTATAAGATTAAAATGACAATTTTCGACAACATCGGGCCTGGGTAACGCACACCTAAAATTAATTGGCATTTGAATAGTTGAACATCTTCAAAGATTTAGATCTTCAAAACTACTATCTACGTAACGGATTTTGGAGCGGTTTTTATTAGACAGAATGATACATGGTGAAGTTTCATATAAGAAGACAAAAGCTATGTAAAATAATAAGCATATCAGAAAAGCTTCAAGAGTAAACATAATTACATACCATACATTTAAACAGTTTTCGCTACAGGAACTTTCGGAAATGTAGAAAATCCACAGACTACATAAAGAGAAAATCTACCAACTTGATCCAAAACTCTTTAACAACAGTGTCGCTTTGATCGATTGTTGTGTTGCCCGATATGAAAATATGAATCCCGCAAGATCTAGCACGCTTTTTCTAAGCAAGTACAAATTATACACTAATAATATATTATACAATTATATTTGACACCATCTATAAGTCACATCATTTATAAGATTTTTCAACTTGCTGAAATTAATATTCTAGTATCCTGTATGCCTGGATCTGCGTGCGACCTCTATAGGAGAGGCCTGGTGGGCGACTGATTAGGCGACTCAGTCGTCCACTGCATGGGTGGGAGTTAGCATTGTGTTCCACGGTCGTCACTTGAGTGATAAGCACGGCCACAAGCAGAAGAGCAATACCGCGGTGTTCCTCTTCTGCCTGCCGAACAACTCCCCCGTCGGGCGTGGGAAGTCTATGAGGATTTCCATCACGTTAAAAAAAAGTATCCTGTACCTATGCCTAGTCTAATACCTACTTCACAAGTCACAATATGGTTGGCATCAGTGTTGCCAACGTAGGCGATTTTTCGCCATTTAGGCTACTCAGAAGGAGAATCGTCGACGAAAAAATCTAAAGAGCGACTGGTCGCCAATTAGGCTACTCAACTCTAGGGCTTTTTAAATGTTTTAAGTTTTTTTTCATATAATAGTACCTAGGCCAAGGGGCATGCGGCCATGCGTGTATGTAATGTTGGTACAATTTGCTGTTGTTGATCGCCATTCTTAGAATTCATAACCATATGAATGTAAGAGTATATATAGCAATAATTTTCAACTAAGCAATCACGCATGGTGAGTTTGCACGCTGGTAGAAAAATGTACGTCACCTCTAGATTTTGCGCCAGGCCAGTACTAGCACATCAACTACTACTAGGTACCAAAGAGGGTGAAAGTCTTGTTGATGCCTTAGTATTACTAGGAGAAGACAAATCTGAATAATTCTATTTTGATTTTGTTTAGTTTTATGTTAAATGTTAACTACCTAATTTCATTGATTTGTTTTATCTATCTAGTATCGTTAGATTATCGTATTAAAAATAAAGTTTGTGTGATTTTTTTAATGAATAAAAACTTTGTTTCATAGGTAACAAATTCACACTCCTTAAGAACTACATTTCATTTTATTCATATAGGTACTTAATGATATTTTGGTGTTTGGGCTACTTTAGGCTACTACAAACTGAAATTCGGCGATATTAGGCTTCTTCATGCATGAGAAACGGCGACATTAGAGCCAGCACCGTTGGCAACACTGATTGTTGGCATCTGTCAAAGTGGCGCTGTTATAGCTAGTGCCCAAAACATTGCGTTTCTCGTCGTTAAAAATAAGAAAAATATTTGTTCTATTAAAATGACTCGTTGTATCGTATTGAAATGCTCGGAAATAGGAGTCCATCATATCCCAAAAGATAAGGAAATTCGTCGGCTTTGGTTAAAAGCCATTCATCGTGAAGATTTAGTTCCAACAAATAATTCGAGGTTATGTCGGAAACATTTTGTGGAAAGTGATTACGAAAAAATCAGCAAATACACAGGTAACCTGCTTGCCAACAATTTCTTGTACTAACTATTAATATAAACATCTTACGATAACAATAAGATAGTTAGTTTAATTAGTACTGTATTAAGACGTTAATAACATTCCTAACTTTTTGTTACAGGAGTTGAACACCAGCACAAATATCTTAAGAAAAGTGCTGTACCATCTGTCTTTGCATGGAACACACCACCACTTTCGGAGAAGCCAAAGGCAAGACAAGATAGATTAAAAACCCGTAACTTTAAAAAAAAACAGCTTTTTGAAATGCCTTCTACTTCTCAATACTGTGAGGACATAGTGCCACTTAAAGAAGATGACGATGTGCACATGACTGATTGCAATGCATCTCAAGAGCTTGTCATTGAAAATGAATGTGACACATCACCATTATCTTATGTTGTAAATCAAAACACTTGTGGCACTCAGACATCAAACATATTAAGACTATTCTCAACTGACCTGTTACTTGCAGATCATGAGACAGTGCATTATTATACTGGATTAGAAACTTCTGCAAAGTTTTCTTTAGTTCTAAGCACTCTTTTACCTATAACTTATCATTTAAGAATACCGTTGGAGTTGGTTTGTTTATCGGTAGAGGACCAAGTTCTCATGTTATTAATTAAACTTAGGAGAAACATTACAGATTTTGAACTGAGCAAAATATTTGGTGTCAGTAAGACTGAGGTCTCTAATATAAACATGACTTGGATATATACGAAGACTTGGAGAACGAAGAAAGATCCTAAAGCAGTTTAGGAAATATGATGATGTAGATTTCCGTGCTCTTTGACATCTGAAAGTGTAAAGCTTCGGTATGAATGGGTCAGCTCAACTGAGTGATACCACGGTCTCAAAACTTCATAAAAAGTCAAAGTGAAGCAATGCTTGCGTTGTGTTATGATTTTGACGTGTGAAATGACTGAGGTTTTTCTTTTCTTTTCTTTTAAAGAACGGAAAATCATCGAATGACTGCTCCCGCCTGGGTGAGGCGGGAGGGAGGTGTCAGACTCTTACTGACTAAAAACCACCCCCTTCCTTCTCCTGCACGTCGAGCCCCGGGAACCCGTTAGGTTCTCTCCGACTCCGAATCGGCATCGACTCTGTTGGGCGTGGGCCCCATCCGTGGTGGCCTGATGGCTGTTTGAGTCTGTTTCTGGTCCGACGGGTAGCCACCCATGCTCGCCGTCCGCAGGCCCGCGGTTACGGTGGCCGGAGATAGTCCCGCGATCCCCGACGCCTGGTGTGTCCTTCACGATGGCTGGGTTGCGAGAAGGCAGCGCTTCGCTGCCTCACGCGTCCCGCCTCCTCCTTAGCTAGCATAACTGTTTCGCAGAAGGAGGAGACGGCATCCCAGCCCCCCTCGCTCCGCATCGTTACCTGCACTAGGCCCGGACGCGAGAGGTCGCCATCGCCGATCACTTCCCTGAGGGCACGGCGGTGCTCAGCCCACGCGAGCATTCCGCTACAAAATAACTGAGGTTACCAGAGGCCCAATCTATTCCCCTCCGCCAAAGGCTTTCAACAACGTACTTTACTCTGGTGTTACAGGTGTCCAATGTCCATGTATGGTGTAATGCCATTTGTGGTTTTGCTTTTTGTTCCAGTGCAGTATTGTAACTGTTTGAATTTTTCTTGTGGTATAAACCGTATTATCACAATAAATTAATTAATTTACCATCAAATCTTTTGTCCTATTCAATGAAATAGACTAAACCTGTAACGGACTGCCATTCAATGTGTAGCGGTTTCGATTCCCGCACTGAGCAACTCTTTATGTCAAGTACAAATTGGTGGTCTAGCGTTGGTCTACGTCTCTATTATATCGATGCGAGTCTCCAATACACGGAATACAAAAAACAACGATGTTGAAAAAAGGATTTATTTTCAATATGATCCTAAGTCCCCGATAAAAACAAAAACCGTGACCCATTATGTCATGATCATGAGATGAATGATTGTCATTGACTGTCAGTGTCAGTCTCACTGTCAGATTAGATAGAATATCAATTCGCTGAGATGCGGAAAACAGAAAACAATCTTCTCTTTATTGTACTGCTGAAGTTTATCAATATTGTTGGTCGAGTTTTGTAAAATAAAAGTAATTATTAGTAGGATAGGGAGGCCTTTGATCCTTTGATCATGGCTGATAATAAATAAATTACAGTGGACTTATGTGCGGTTGTTACAAACTGAAGTTTTATTTTGTTATTTAGATTTCCACAATGAATGTAACAACAAGTAAAGCGTCGTATAAAAGACATGCGACATATTCAGCGAAACGAAATTCTCTACAAAGAGGTCGGGGAGTATTTCGAGGGCACTACAAACTGGATATAAGGTAAGTCAATGTATAATTACCTATTTGCTCATAACAACAAATTCTGCCGGCTTCCAAGCAAACACGAACATGTCCACGGCAGGAGGGTTAAACTTCAAACTTCTTCTCAAACTGTTGTGAATCTTTCCTCAAAAAACCACTACTGAATCAACTTGCACGGTTCTCACACATTATTTGTCTTTTAAAAAGACCTCTGAGTTTGTTACGGCGATTCTTCTCACAGTAGTCAAGAAACTGGCCCTCGTCTAGTACTTAATTTAGAGATTGATGAGTAAAAGTGATGATGATCATGATGATGATTATTGATTACTACCTGCTCTCCAAAATGTTCTGTTTTCTATTATTAAATATTTCATTCTTATATTTCAGCCGTTTGCAAGTTTGGCGTGAAGAACAGGAGAAGCCAGTGAAGAAAATACTAGGAATTTCAGGTAGTGTACATTTTTGTATTCTTGTTGGAAACTGTTTATTTGATATTTTATTTCTTATAGTATCCAAAATTTCACTAAAGTTAATTTCCAATAATTATTTGAAATAAAACAAGTGAAACAAAATTTTTATTCTAGATCACCCTGATGAGGGTGGAGTATCTGAGCTGGCAGATCAGCCTGGAGCTAATGAGGAAGTGTGTCTCCTGTCAGACATTGAAGGAGAAATATCGGACACCAGCAAGGCTGTACCTGAAAAGAGAAAGCAGGCAGAGAGTAAGGATATACATTTAATTTAATTCCCACTGCACTGAAACGTCAGTTAGTAATGGTCAAGATAATGTGTAAAAGCAAAGTTTTAATTAGAAAACAATAAGGTCAAAAAAACCAACTGTCCGTATAATTAGCACACATTTTAAAAATAGTTATCCAAGTTGGTGAATATTGAAGCTTTGTATTAATTTTACAGGGAAAAATACAGAATATGAACACAATAAATCTATAGAAATTGATGCTAGTGAAATCCCACACATTATCCAGATCATCCCGGTTGACAGCACTTGTATGCAATGTAAGGTTGAACAGCCTTGTACCTACAGATATACTACCAAAGAGAGTGAGACCGTCTACTTGTGCTCTCAGACATGCGCCAACAGCTTCCAGAGACAATGTGTCATCCAGTATTCCACACACAAGAAGTACTTAATTGAAGAAATTGTACCTAAAATCTTAACATGTTCAGAATGTGAAGAAATAAAAAGTTGTTACTTCTATTGCAATTACGACGGTGAGCACACTTATTACTGCTCCAAGACCTGTCTCAACAGTATGATGGCCGATGACGCAGACAAATACATGTTCAAGAAACGAAGTTTTATCGAAGTCGAAGAAATTGCGCCCACAGGAGCCAAATGCTGCGTTTGCAATGTTCACAAAAAATGTTCATACTCTCTGAATAGCGACGGTGAAACTCTGTTTATCTGTGCCAATTCGTGCATGAAAACCTTAAATGGTAGAGAAAATGGTAGATATGTAATTACAGGGAAGCAAATAGAAAAACAAGGAAACATTCCATGGTACAATCCACGGACTTCTCCACGGACATTTTCTCCACGGAATGTCCCTGAAGAAAATGATAGATATTTGATTGTAAGGAAGGCAACAAGGAAACAAACTATTGTGCCACGCAATGTCGCTGAGGAAAACGGCAAATATATGATTAAAAAGAAGATAACTCCAAGAAAACAACCTACCCAGTCACAGAATCCGTCTTTGCTTACGTTAAAAGTTATTTGTAATGCAACCGACAAATATTTAGACGAAGCATATAAGATACAAGCGAAGACACCTGCGATGGTGGAAAGGGCGCGGGAAGAGAGAGAACGGACTTTGCAAGCCGCGAGAGAAGAGAGAGACCGTACTTTTATTCGGATGTGTTACCGATGCCAACTTATTCTTAACATTGGCGAAAAATTATTGACTTGGGAAAATATGGACTTCTGTAGTGAATTGTGTTTAGAACGTTATCAGAACAAAATTGGAGCTCGGTGCGCGAACTGTAAGAACAATGTGCAAAAAACTAGTTTAGGGAAATATTGCGTTCGATTTGGTTTCGATATCCGGCAGTTTTGTACCTGTTCATGTTTAGAAGAGTTTAAGAAAGGTTTGAAGATATGTCATTATTGTCAACAAGATACATCAGTCAGTCACCAAAGTTTTCGGGCACCCGTCGGTGATAAAGGACAGTTTAAAGACTTTTGTTCACAAGATTGTATAAAGAAGTTTGACCTGATGAGCAAAAACCAGATGCTTCAGCCAGTGTGGGCGAAGTGCGCTGTGTGTTCCTTAGAAAAAGAAACTTCGATTGAAGTGGATGTGCGTGAGGACTCGTCACAAAGGTTGTGTTCGGATACCTGTTTTACAGCGTTCAAATTCGTTAACAATATCGTCCCAGGTGAGTTATATTTACGAACTAGAAACCATGTCTTAATTAACTAATTCTATGAATTCATCCTTAATAGGGATGATGACAGGGTATGAAAATTAAAAATCTGATTAGTCTGTCAGTTACTTAGGTAATGAAAAAATATTAGACACGCATTTTTTTATTTTGTCGTATAAGAAAACAATACTTAAATGAAACGAGTCAAAGTTTAGGAGTGGGAGCTAATTACGTAACTTTCAAGTATAAAACGTACACAAAAGTGACGTCACGCGATATTTCAAAGCAATATATAGCGTCGAAAGTCTCTGTGTACGTAAGAAAATAAAAAAACGTGTCTAATAATTTTAAATAATCTACCAGACGGACATAAAATAAAAATTAGTAATCTACCCTATTGCTCATTCATTAACTTAGGCTTGCCTTTATCGCCAACAAAAAGCAAACTGTTCCAATAAAAGGTTCCTTCAGAAGTAGGTATGTTAATTTTTACCCTTTTACGGTCGAGTCATCAAACTGTGTTGACTGTGGAACGATCGAAGATGTACCGCCAATTTTTTTTCTTAAATGTGTCCGGAATAATCCTCTCAGAAGAACATACATTGATAGCATTACATCAGGTGTTGGCCATTTAAATGACATGCTATGCAGTAAAATATTTAGCAAAATAAACCTACTTAAGCCTAATTTAGTTATATTTATCTGTCATTTTGTTATTTAAACTGTCAAACATCAAGCGGTCACCGGTGACCGCGACCTATTGTTCTTTAATTGTGTCTATAAAACCGATACTCGACGAGTTAATTGGATGGGGCGATATACTCGCAAAGCGACAAAGTCCTGTCTTAACTAAAAAAAAACTAATTCTATGTTTCTTTTTGTTCACAGACCAGTGTCGTTTGTGCAATAAATACTTTGAAAGGAAGTATAGTAATTTTTTTACTATCTACGAAGGTGCAACAGCCCACTGTTTTTGCTCAAATTTATGTATGAATGTTTATATAAATAAATCTAGGCATGTGGTGCCCTGTAACTGGTGTCAGGTGAAGAAATACAATTTCGACATGATAAGGCGGGTCCAGGCAAATGGTCAGGCCATTATGGTGTGCTCACTCAACTGTTTGAATCTCTACCAAGTTTCTGTTAGTGCTGTGTCGTCTATACGGTAAGAATACTAAACTAATTATTATTATTAACATGTTTGTATTATAACTTTCGTGAGACATAATAAAATTATTATTATGTTTTTCGGCCTACTCACGCGTCGTGGGTTGTGGAATTTGCTCATAAATATGAGCCTCTAGTATGACTTGAAACTAGTCGAGTTCCTCGTCAAATAATTACGAGAGTAAGCCGAAAAACAATAATTAATCATTAACATGCTTTATTATAAATTGACCTCATGGATTGACTTTTTGACGTTTTAAATAAAATGTAAGAATCGGAATTTCATACTTCTAATTGTTGTAACTTTGCAATTATATGTATACTAGCTTTTACCCGCGGCTTCGCTCGCGTCACAAAAGGTTAAAAAGTAGCCTATGTGACATATACTAATACACATAGCGCCATCTATACCAATAATTTCGTTTTCCCTCGAGAATATCAAATTTTTCCGGGATAAAAAGTACCCTATTATTTAATCCAGACTTCTAACTTCACGTCTGCAAAAATTCAAGGCAATCGGTTTAGTAGTTACGGCGCGAAAGTGGAACAAACAAACTAACTTTCCGATTTATAATATTAGTAAGGATTTGGTAACTATACAGTATTATTATGGTACCCTTGAGCTGTTGATATAATTGGAAGGTGGTTGATGGAACATTGGACTGCCTGCTAGTCTATATCTAGTTTTGGCTCCTGATGACGAGGACGTATGACTAAAAGCGGGTTAAAGTATAAAGTATAAATTGTACCTAAACATCAAAAAGCTATAAATAATAATTGAAAATTATCTTGATGATACGTCATAAGCATTTTTTTGAGGGTATAAAATCATCCAATTACTTTTCTGGTCTCTATTGGGTGACGAGGGGAGTGTCAGACTCTTATGTATGTACGACTCAATTTTAGTCGCGCTTAAGTATAGTTTGTCACTATGACACAAAAATTATTTGTAAAATGACAGCGATGGCACGATATTTAAGTACAACTTAAATTCGAGTAGCCTTTCAGTATTCGAGTGTTAGTGACTAAAATCAACCGCGTTAATATTTCTGCTTTGAACCGGAGCCCCGGTGGGTATTTTGACCGATTGTGTTTATAGCACCGGATATTTCACCGTTTTTCTGGTTATTAAGTCAGTTTTATTCTGTTTTCTTTTTTCAGTACGCAATGTGATTTGTGCAAGAAAAAGTCGCAAGTTCTATACCACTTAACGATGTCTGATGCCTCATTAAGGAATTTCTGTTCGTACCAGTGCGTCTTGAAATTTCAGGTTAGTCCTATTAAAAGTCCTTAGGTCCTTAACTAAAGGAATATACGTGGCTTACTATCGGCTGTGTAATGCCAAGACATACGTACACACGGTCACACATTAATCTATACAAAATCAGTTCATCCTGGTGTAGCCGTGTGTACAATGGCCAACAGGTTAACCTATCCTTTTTTGTAAAATTTCTCTATTTTATCTTCAAATTTATTGCATTGACATAAATTCGAAAATCCAATAATTAAATTTGACAGATTGGAGTAGTTTGATCTGCTGGCAACTGTGCAATAAACATTGAACCTTTCACGTTCTACCGATGATGCGTTAGTTAGTGTTTTGGGATATACATGTCATACTTACACCCGGGTCCGGTTTTACCGAAAGCGACGTAATACTTGACAGCAGACAGTGTTTCAAATCACCAGAAATACAGATTAAAAATGGTCAATAAACATAAAATCGAAATCTTAATTCCTTGACCAGGAATTTTAGAATGTATAGATATTTCTGTTCCCATAACATGAACTATAATGATACTTACACACTCAATATATTAATCATAATGGCAACAAACCTATGTACATATTTGTCTATTGTTTTAGGGTAATTATTCAAAGTATACGCCTTCGTTAATACCAAGCGAGGCCATCGATGAACAGAAAGCTGTACCCACGGGATCGCCCAGACGGATGTACCCAGCTGCTAAAAAAAGTAAGTTTTATATTATGTGTAAGTTTGTTTTATAATTGATGTTATAACGAGATTCAATCACAAGTTAAGGTTACCTAACGCTATATCGGGGCGACTGACTGGGTGTTGACTTCCGTACGAAACAATGTTTGTGACCATAGAGGGCTTTGTAACCGGCCTGTATGGAAGGCATTGGGGGAGGCCTATGTTCAGCAGTGGACGTCTTATAGCTGATATGATGATGAGAGGGCTAAAGGTCTCTCTGCGGGCGTGGCGCGGCGGGACGGGACGCCGACGCGACACTACACTACTAGATATTACGGACGACGCCGCACAGAGCCGTCGGTTACCGTCGCGTCCAGCAGGACGGCTCTGTCATTACAACTGCTCAGTGTCGCCCCCTTCCCGCAGCGCCGCGCCCGCTGTGTGCAGAGTACCTTTAGTACGAGTTTCTTTCTAGATCGCGTTCGGCTCTCTTATTGATTGATCCATTGGAGCCGGCCAATCAGAGCGTCGAACGCAGTAACGTTTCGATTTCGTTTAACATAAAACAAACTCGTACCAAATAGTTACTAGAAAATAGTTTGTAAACGTATGCAATACCAGTGGCGTCGCTCGTGCGTTGCTAAGCTTGCGAAAATGTCTATTTTTAACGGTTCTCTCTTGTTCATAGCTCTCCAAGTCCAGCAGCGTTCAACCCAATCCTTAGCACCAAACGTCCAATCCTTAGCAGCTCATTCTCTGCTCAAGCCGGTCATTACAGAACAGAATTCTACATGTGTACAACAACCCGTACCAGAACCCGAGCCCCCCGTGTCACCCGAAATACCTCCACCCCCAAAATCCCCTACCCCACCACCACCACCACAATCCCCTACCCCACCACCTCCACCACAATCCCCTACCCCACCACCATCCACAACCCCGTCCACAAAAACCTCTACACCACCATCATCACCTCAATCCACAAAAACAACTACCCCAGTAATACCAACACCACCCCCCGCACGACGACCCCGCAAATTTAAAATAATAAAAATCATACCTTCATCAGTATCAGTAATAACCAATAAGGTAACTAAACCTATAATGGAGTCTAAAAGCGTTTCGTGTGGACCTGAGATGTGCACCAAGGAGTGTCAGACAGACCCTAGTTTAGAACGACGTGTACTTATTCCCGTTCCCGTCCCTATCTACGTCCCTGTACCTTGTGCTATGTGGTCCCTTCCCTTCCCAGTTCCAGTCCCTATTCCCATACCTATCCCAACACCAGTCTTTATTCCTACAACTAGAAATTCAGCCAAAGGTATCAAGAAGGAGATAGAAAAGATCCAGGATAAGAAGCCGCCAAATCCATTTGAAGCAGAACTGCTAACGATGGCGGAGATGGTGGCCTGTGACATGAAAAATGAACAAAGTGATTCTGATTCTGACGAGGACAATGGTACGTTATAACAACATTGTATATTATTAGTAATTAATAAATTTTGTAACTGCCTTTTGTTTTGCAATTATATAAAGTTCAAAGTCAAAGTCAAAATCATTTATTTCAATTAGACCAGGAAGGCACTTTTGAACGTCAATAACAAAAAAAAGTAAAGCTATTTGCTCATTCCCATGGAGAAGAACGAGCAAAAAACTCCATAGGTTACTCTTTTCCAATCAGGTTCTCAATACAAATTGTACAGTTATACAGTTTTATTGGTTGGATTATGCGAGAACAATGTAACACCAACACCGTTTTGTAAGATTACCAATTGAACACATTTGCATTTGCAGCGGAAACCTTGAATCCTGTGGCGGATATGGGCGATAACAATGCCTTTGGCGAAGACATGCTGCAGGTGGCGTTCAAAATGGCGACGAACTACGAAGACAAAGGTGTAGACCTTGAATCTGAGATGTTAACAAATACTATCACACCAGACCTGCGTGCGTCGGTGGGGCCCCGCAAGCGCGCCCCCGGGGCCCCGAAAGCGGCGCGCTCCGCTTGTACTACGACCAAGCGGCGCCGCGCCGAACCTCCGCCCGCGCCGCTGCCTGACCCGCCGCGGGAGCCGGCCGAGAAACCGGACGCCAACATGTGCCTCAAGGTGACTCGAAGGTCCAACGTGGCCGTTGTATGATGCCGTCTGTCTGCGGCGACTCATTGTGTCTTATTGCTTCAGTACATGTTCGGCGTCAACGCGTGGAAGCAATGGGTGATGACGAAGAACGCGGAGATCGAGACGAGCTCGATACGACGGAAGCCGTTCAAGTCCGAGATATTGCAGCTCACAGCGGATGAACTAAACTACTCGCTGTGTCTGTTTGTGAAGGAAGTGCGGAAACCGAACGGCAGCGAATACGCCCCCGACACTATTTATTATTTAGTTTTAGGTGAGCTGCTTTTACTGTTTCTAGGTTAACGTTAACGACAGACATACCTAGATTACATTTTCAGATTGAAAAACACACATAAAATGCAATAATTAGTTAAACGATTTAAATATTTTCGATTAATTCGATCGCTTGCAATTGTTTAAACATACCTATTTATATGTTAATTATTTAAATTCTGTTGGTGTTGATAATACCAATAAGTGAATCTTTAATATTACATTTTCAGGTATACAACAATATTTGTTTGAAAACGGTAGGATAGACAATATATTTTCGGATCCATATTACGAGGAATTCACCGATTGCCTGGACGAAGTCGCGAGGCAGTTCGCAATTCTATACGATGTCTCAAGTAAGTATTATTGACAAGGGTACTCGAATATTTGCAAGCCATATGCGGGGCCCTAAATCATGGGCAACGTGCGCGACGAACTGAGTCTTAACTAGTCGGTAACCTTAAAACAGTTTTGTGTTGTTGTTAACCGCGTAGTGTGTTGGGGAACCAATACAAACATATAAAGGCTCGCACACAAAACTGCGGTGCGACGTCGCATCGCAAAAATGTGCGACCTCCCTCTACACCATCGCAAGAACTTGGGAATAGATACGCATCGCGCATCAAAATCTTCTTTGTTTCTATTCCCTGTATCTCCTACGCAATAACAGAAGTGCACACCTCTTTTTATGATCCATGTCAGGACCTAGATTACAATTAAAAAAAAACGTTTAGTACGGTTGACGGTCGTCGAAGGAATGGTCACCCTGGGAGACGCCTTGTCGCACGAAATCGCATCGCAGCAATTCGCATTTCATCGCATCGCAGTTTTGTGTACGAACCCTTAGTTCCACTTCACTTTGAACGAAGTCATTGTGCGCCTGTCTGGCACTTGTCTACTGCATCGAAGGTACACAACTCCCTATAGCCAAAACTTCTCTTCCAGAATGTTGTGCAGGAAATATATTGGCATTATCACCTCATAATTATAATGTCAAATAGCCGTTGCTTGTGTATTATCATGCTGATAACTTTGATATAATTCCAGATTACGTAGTCACCCGAGTAGAAGAGGAGCATTTATGGGAGAGCAAGCAACTGGGCGCTCACTCCCCGCACGTCCTGCTCACCACGCTCATGTTTTACAACACAAAATATTTCAATTTGGTGGTATGTTTCATATACATAATTGTACAAAGACATTCTCAATCACAGCATTCGATTATGTGACATTATTAATTTCACGTTTTTAGAAATATGTGTAACTATGAAGCCCTCGATATTACGAATTGATAGGACTGTATAGGTACTTAGTTTTGCAGTAGAATCAAAACTGAAACCAGTTTTGATATAATTCATTATTTATGCATCTAAAGTTGTGATGACTTGTACTTTTGACACAAAATTAACGCTGTACTGTTACGTCACAGTAACAATAATTATCTATTTTTGTAATAGGCATCATATATTGTGTGATTTTCATGATTATTAGAATTGGGTACCCCAAAAATAATACAGCTTGCAGACAAGATGAAGGATGGTATCTATTATTTTGTTACAGACAGTAGAGGATCATTTGCAGTTGTCTCTCGCTTACGTGTTGAAGCATAGGAAGCTGAGAAGGGAAGACGCCATGACACCCGACTCAAGGAATGATATACTAAGATATTATCCTCCACAATTCGATTTAGGTCAGTACCACAAATATTTTGTTACTACATTACTAGCTTAGCACGCGACTCATATCTGTGTGTGTCATATCACTAGCTAGAAGCATCTAGCTAATGATACAAACACATTTTTTTACTGTGTTTAAAGATAAAGATAAGTTTATTTCTAAGTATATGGTACACTGAGATCTTAAACTAAATATGGAATCACATATACTACCATTTCTGGTGTAGAAATTTTAAACAAGTTAAGTCCATGCCAATCTTTTTTATTTACAATCTAAACTAGTTAATTGTAGCTTGTCTACATTGTAAATTTTTTTTTAATAAGTCTTTAGTTTCACTAGTATGAAGATTCAAATTAATGATCAGTTTTGAAAACTATCCGTTTTTATTAAATTTACTTTTTCTTATCCGGAAATAATAGTTCAATTTTGAACAATGGCTTTTATCTGTTGTAGAAGCAAATTCAAGGCTGGGTCTGTACTGTGTCACTAGCTAGACTACAGAACCAAGCGAAATTCTACTTATCTTTTTTTAAATAAAACACACGTCTTCACTTTCATTACTACATTGCCAGTATACTTTTGATTCAAGTATATTTATGTGACGTGATATAAGAAATTTTCTTAATAATATTTTAAATACGTACAGAGAACTATCAGTATTAATTTCTCATTACATTTGTCTGTTACAGAACCAAATTTAAAAAAGAAAAAGAGAAAGGTGTATGAACAACGTGCAAATGAAGCAAATCCGTTTAGGTGCCCAATCAAACTTTTTGAATTCTATATTTCTAAATGGTATGTTGTATTTTTACTTTAATCACGTTTTTGAAAGTATATATAAGTATAAGTATATGTATAGTATGATAGATATTATTAATAAAGGTATATTTTCCAACAGTCCCGAGTCGGTGCGCACGCGCAACGACGTGTTTTACTTACAACCGGAGAGATCCTGTGTACCAGACTCCCCAGTGTGGTACTCTACGCAAGCGTTGAGCAGACAAGCGCTGGCGAAGATGCTGCATCGCGTCAAGATGGTTAAGGAGATAAACATTGCGTTACTCACGAGCTAAGGTAAGCGTTGTAGCGAGTAAGCTGCGCTACTGCCGAGTGAGAGTCTATGCATTTTGTCTAAGCACTGAAATATTGTTGCAGATTACATCGCCAGTCTGCACACGGCTTGGAAACTAATGCAGCGATGCGGTACAAGTTACTGGCACACTCCTACAGACTACGTTCACCGGAGTACCGCGCGCGTGGGCTACAGGTGGCTCTTGCAACGTATCTCGGACTTCAACCGATCGCTTATGAAATCGGTTATATTTCGGAATTGTGTTATACATTCTCATTAAAATAATTATTGGTAACTTGGGTGTTATGTTCCTAAGTACCAGGATATAAGAATTTTATGTTTGTTATCGCAAGTTCGACTGCCGGGCAAGGGGTCTCGGGTTCGATTCCCGGGTCGGGCAAAGTATTACTGGGTTTTAAAAATTCTCAGTAGTACGGAATCTGGAATTGTGCCCGGTATATGGCAATAGGCTTACTCCCTATTACATGGGACTCATAACATAAATTTGTACAGTGGCATAATATGCACCTCTGCCTACCCCTTCAGGGATAAAAGGCGTGATGTTATGTTATGTTTGTAAAATTTGAATATTAATAATTAATAATATAAGATAGAAATAAGTTGTAAACAATTCTAAGGTTTTATTAGTGGCAATATACACTGCTATGTAATAATAATACCTATTCAATTTTATAAATTGAGAGAATTATAATAATATCGTAATATGTCAATGATTATCATTTGAACTAGATCTCAGAACAATACCTTTTGTACCAATACATTTTTGTTGAAAATAATTATAGAGTTATGATTCGTATTATATTTTACGCGTTATTAGTATCCCACCAGCGGCTATGTATGTTGGCGAAAGTTTAGCTTTTAACACTGTGTAAAAAATAATACTGATACTTCTCTCCCACTGAGTGTTTTATTTCTTAAATACTACCCCCCCCCCTACCCCCTTTAGGCTTAATTCACTCTGTCTCCTGCAGTAATTCACCGATGGAAGTGGAAACTATCGTTTTTTTCTTCTCTCCTTAGAATATCTTCTGATTCACTTCGTTGCGGGAACCAAGACAGTTATTCATGTCCCTGAGACGCGCCGAACTTCAGTGTTCCGGTGTTTTCATGGTTATCTACGGTAGATCCTGGCTTATAGGAGTTGTCGGTTTTGGGAGGTTGTGGCGGGCTTGTCCCATTTAAAAAAATACCCATGAAGTTGTGTAGTAAGAACTGAGAAGATGCTATGTTTTTCCAGTTTTACTTTTCGACACTATATCTGTCCGTTTTTTGTCCTTTCTTCCAAGGGATTTTTTTATATTACCTACTACATTTCCACCTGCGCAGTAGTAAAAAAGTGGTCCCAGCTTCCTATCTCCAGACACAAAAATCATACCATAAAACCTCCAAGGAAGATGCGTGGCGCTGACGGCGCGGTGTGTGGAGTGTAGTCGAGCGCTGCCAGGTCTGACACCATGTCGCGGAGAACCTAACGGGTTACCGGGGCTCCGGCTCGATATGCAGGAGAAGGAACGGGGTGGTTTTTAGTCGGTAAGAGTCTGACACTCCCTCCCGCCTTACCTAGGCGGGAACAGTCATTCAATGATTTGCCCCCTTAAAAAAAACGGAAACTATGATAACATACCTGGGCTGGGTATATTTTTCACTTTTTTTAGCACACTTGCTATTTAAGGGAAATGGTGGCTAATTATTTCTACCTATTATAGCTACTGGTTAACCGGAGGCAAAGAGTATTATAAGTATCGGAGGTCGCCATCAAAATTCAGTTCTGCTCTATTGGACTTATTTTAGCAACGTAAGGTAGATAGCTGTTATTACTTATGTCCATTTTGACCGATATGTAGGCAACCACCATACCACCAATGCACAATAATAATATCTAAAAGCTTGAAAATTATCATTGCCATTTGCCACATCTATTTCGCGTAACAGGTATTAGTTCCAAGGGTAACCGCTTTCCACCGGGTGGGCCGGATGTTTTTTGCTACGTGGTATATAAAAAAGCAGAAAACATCAAAATAGGTCTATGAATTTATGTAAAAGCCGGGAACCTGTTAGAAGCTAGACGATCATTAAACGTGTACAATACCATTTTTATAAAACTAATACTTATATATCATGGTGATAGAGAAACTAATAGAGAAATAAGTACATTATCATTCTTTTAAAAAAATCTGTAGGATTATTAGCACACACTAATCTCCGGAGCTAACGAACGGATTGAGTATGAATGAAGCTTGTATAGCTATAATGCTAATAGGCCTAGGTCTAACATAATAAATAGAGGGTATAATTTGGTTTGGAAAAAATCTACCTGTGTTATTTTTTTGAGTGGAAATATCATTCAATACTCTCCCGCCTTGTATAAGTAAAGCGAGTGTTTGAGTGGATTTTTTATTGACTAAAAACCGCCCCGTTCGTAGTTCCTACTCGTACTTTGAGTCGGAGCCCCGGAAAACGGTCCGTTAGGTTGTCCGCAGAAAAAAATCCACCTGAAGTTAATATTCTACACGGACGGATTTGCGGGCTAGTAGGAAACTAGTAAGTATTATAATAAAATTGTTGCTGGATGTTAATAATTTTCTACCATTCTCTTCCCCTCGATTCTTTTTTTTTATCGTAATAAGATAAGTAAACTGCGAACTCACAAAGTCACAGTCTATACAAAAAAAGTACTCTGTACAAAAAAAGTACTCTGTCTGCGAAATGCTGGCTGTATCATTCTCATTCACATCAAAGCCTGTACAGTACTAATGAAATCTTTTTATAACCAAAAGTAAAAGGAGAACGGCAGATTTTGTACCGCTTCGCTAAAAAAAGATTTGTCATTAAAAAATTGGGTCATTATAGAACCTCCTAAGTACGTTATGTTAGCATATTTAATAGATTTTTAAAACTTGGGAAACCCTAGAAAAACTGATATTCAATAATAATAAAAAGCAATCCACTATACGTAAAACGAACCGCGATTGACGTTTACAAAGTTGCCATGCGTAAAGATGAAATCAGAGCATATTGAATTTCGCTATTTCATAAACTCATTTATTTTAATATCTATCAATGAAATATTTTCCTTTCCATTTCAAACATTTTTATAAGTAAATATAAAAATCTACACTACATCCAATCTAAATCTACGTTTACAGGGATTATTAATGATAATTAACATTTTAACAAACTTGAATATTGTGGCAATGTTGAACTGGCATTTGTCTTGATGACATTGACAATTAATTTGTCAATACTGGCGCATTGCTGTTTGTTTCAAATGCGATGTTATGATGTGTTTGTTGAATTTGAAGTTATTTTATTCATCTGGTGATACGTTAAGTTTGGCAACCGTTCCTCCGTAGCCCAAATTGGTATTATTGGCATCATTGTTGTGACAATTGCGAAAAGACACTTATTTACATTATTTTGTGCAGTGTGTTGTTATTTGTCGCGATGATGAATTTACAGTGTATTAATTGCATTCAGAGTTTGTCGCACATGAGACGGCATGCTCTAGAAAATGAGAGTGAAGATTAGACGTGGTCAACAATATCCCAATGTGGACTTATCCTAGAGATGTAAGTACCTAGTTTACCCATAACATATCGAAAGTCACCATGTTGCCTGAATAAAAGAAGGCGCATAGTGTTATCTACCCATAATGTATCATTTTATTCTTTTTATTCTAGATCTCTCCTACCGACCATATTTGCAATGCTTGCTGGCAATTAGCAATGTATCGGGATGTTGCTGAAAGTATATCCAGCAAACAAATTGGTCACTGGCATGTTTGTGTCGTATATGGGTGATTCATTGCAATGATAAGGTGACGCAGGGTTTTAATTGAAGGCGCCAACAAACAGGAGTAAAGACTGGCTCATATAGTATTTGATTGGATTCAGCCACAAGAGGTAATAAAGCATAATTTAACCATACTATTATCTATATACAGTGTAATCTAAAGTCAATATCATATTCTAATAATATTACTTATTTTAGCTTACTTCCCATGATGAAGATCATGTTCCATACTGACTGAGAGACCGTACAAGAGTCGAAACTATAAAACCACAACCTGACATACCACCTCACAGTGTTCACTATCAGGAAGTAATGTATTATGTAAACATGGACTAAGCCTCACTTTAACATTGCCATTTGTAGAACAGATGAGGCCGGATGATGTTGTTCGGCTCTCAAAGCTTCAACAGGTATGCATTCTTAATATAATGTACCTACATAATTATGTATCTATGTGGAGTATATAAGCGGTTTCTAATAGGTTTATACTCATGTTATAATTATAATTTATTAATTAGCATGCTGTTTGAGCTCCTATGATCTGTGTTATACGAATAACTATAATAAATGTTATAAAATGAAGTAATGTAATCAAATATTTACTTTTATCTTTTCCATTTTAAGATAGGGAATCAGACTTATTATTATAACATATAAAACTAAAGGAAAAAAATGTACTTTTGTTTACTTTATTTACAGTTATCTTACTTGTTTACAGATATGAGCAATTGATGTCTGCTGTACCTATGACACGGCCTGTTCTCTTTTTAGATGAAGTACTCCTAGAAACAACCTGAATACAATGAAATAAAAGTATTTCAAAATAATACATTTGTTTTATTTTAACCTAGTAAGTAACTATATATTCCATCTTGATAAAAGTGATTTTAAGAATCAATCTATAAAATAAATGCCATATTTAATTTAGATAGCTTTAGTTTTATACCAAAAATGTTCATTTTCATTTTACATTTTCTTTAGTTGTAATGTGGTGGCCCAGAGGTTTAAGAAGCCCGCTTCTCATGCATGAGAGTGCGGGTTCGAAACCTACCAACGGCAAAGTACCTTTTGTCCAATGTGTCTTTTTTCCGAGTTATTGGTATATTCAAAAATCTAAGAAAGTACAAAGACACCGCTGACGAATGGTGAAGGAAAACATTGTGAGGAAACATGGGCTTATAATTTCTTATTATAAGTTTGAATTACCAACCCACATTGAGCTAGTATGGTGATTAACTCGTCGAGTACCGGTTTTATAGACACAATTAAAGAACAATACGTCGCGGTCACCGGTGACCGCTTGGTGTTTGACAGATTAATGCTCAAACCTCCATGCGAGAAGAGGCTTCGGTCAGCAGTGGCCACTTATAGACTTAATGATGAAAATGTTGATGATTCTACTAATTTGACTTACTTATTAGAAATTAATCCTTACATGCGTGCTAAGCAACCAGTTTTCAGAAGAAATACTTTCTCAAAGAGCTAAGCTAAGTTTAAATCGAATTAACTTGAGACCCTTGAGACTATCTACCTGCAAGATTCAAGGTGAAGTGAGACATTAGTTTTATCATATCCGCCACAAGACTTCCACTGCTAAATGTAGGCCTTCTACCCAATGACAGTCGCTTACATTATGAATTTGCATTTTCGTAGGCACCTAAGAAATGAAAAAGATTGTGAGGCATACTCTTTAAAACTCTATAGGTGCATCATGCTTGCTGAATTAACAGGATCATTCCTAATTGCCTTTTGCGCTGCGACGCACCATAGGTTATTTTTTGGGTTTCTAAATTCTTGTTGTGTGTCGTAGCAAAATAAATGGTTTTTCTTTCTTTCTTTCTTTCTAATAATACAAAGTGTAATAGTCACTTGAGTAGCGAGCAGTATTTTTAGATTTTTGTTTTTTGTAAATAAACAACCACATGAGAGCACATTGACATTTTTCAGTTAACTGTCATCTGTCATTTGTAATAGATATTTTGCTTACGGTGGCTCTACACTTGACGTTGCGTATTTGTTGTGTTCGGCCAAAAAAGAACATGTTTAGAGGATTTATTCTTCTTTGTTTGCTATATATTTGCACGCCATTACATATAGAGATACTATTTGAACGCCATTTGTACGTAGTCTACAAATATTTGGACAAATGAAGCGACTACGCAATGTCAAGTGTGGTACCACCTTAACATACCTTTTGCACATTTTCAAAGTGAAATAACTTTTGAACCCCAAGTTCTAAAAATATGTAATTTTTTTCTAAACTTCATAATAAAAATATCTATCGTTCAGACTATTCACTTGGTTAAAACAATGACTAATACAAAATTTTATAGCGGTACAAAACTTCCATACAAACCTGCCATTCTCCTTTATGATTACTTTTCATTGTAAAATATGTTTTTAAATATTTTTTAATTTTTTACAATCTCTCCCTATTATTTAATTCCCGTTGACAGGTTTGTTATCAAATAAATATTGTAACCATGAGCTTCCAATCACCAAAATCTTCAATGAAACCTCGTATTTGCCAACCAAACAAATTTAAATATAATAGCGGCAGTATGGTGAACTAATACGATCTCTCTTTCTAACAAACTATGAAAGCATGTGACTAAAAAGAGACAGTAAGAAATCAGCCAGTGACGTTATTTACTAGTCAAGCTATTATTATGTGTGTAGAGAAAGAAATAAATTATCAAGTGTTTTAAAATTTCTTTTCAATATATCTTTTAACAGATCGATATTTTATGTGACGCAGTTTTACTATATTTTATACAACAGCAAATCAATACAGTTAGCTCTAACTGCATTGTAAAGTATTTGTTTATCAAAATAGGTAAACAACAGCCGAAAAAACTAGATGATTTGAGTGTACTTCGATCGCCATTACTATAGGCATTATTAAATTAACGGTGCAAAGTGTGTGACTGTGTCAATGCGTAATTCGTGTAGGAGTATCCATTCTTGAAGGTTTGCTTATTTATTTGTAAAAAGAACATAATTTTCTTTCAATTTTGGCGGGAGTCCTGGCACGTTGTATCGTGGTTGTCGAATGGCGATCTGTCACCTGTCGCCTCCTGGCTTCATCGACGCAGATATAAGTTCATGTTTCAGTGGTTCTCAGTAAAATTAGCAGTGCAATAGTGAAATTCCTGGTGTGCAATCCATGTGGACATTCGACGATGCGTCGCGATTAGGCGGGTCGGATATGGATAGTAGGCGAGCGTGCCCAAGCTACGAAGCCGGGTTAGACGTGTGCGATCCCTTAGGATCAGTCCTGGATTGGTCTGGTCGGGAACCAGCCCGCATACTACGGCGTCGGTGCCGCAGTGAGGGTATAGACCGTTCGCCTTACGAGGATGTAAGTCGCGAGGTGAACCGCTCCGCGGATGGTAACTGTCGATATCATCGAGCCCAGCCCAACAAGAGCCATTTCACGCTGAATAACAGCGAGCCACAATACGCGGCTGCACGGTTTCGTCACGAGTGCTCGCTGCCAGCTGCCGAGAACGGCGACTACGTCATGGCCCACGAGCGGGACAGGTTCCATGGGTGAGCTCATATAAACATAACCTAAACACTTGTAGTGCTTTGACACTGCTTGGTTATCTAACCTTATGTCAACACAGATGTGTTCTGAACCACACGGGCTATGCTTGATGTCCTTAATGTTTTCCTCCTAAATTATTTATTCTTAGTGTGATAATGCTCATATAACTATTTAGAAACTATTGTATATCAGTAACACTAGGTTTTTCTTTATAGTTACCAGCCAGGAAGATCAAAATTATACCGAAAAAGTCCTACCAGACCATTATTAGTAACAACACTATCCAATACTAAAGTTGATGATCGTTTACCAAAAGTTGAAGAACTATTAGAAAAAGTTGATCAAGACATGATGGAAGTGCAGGCGACAAAGCAGCCTTTAAAATCAATACTCAATAACCCCTTACCTAATTCACCACTTCATGGTATTCTGAAGAAACCTAAAAACAGGCCACAGCCAGATTCTAAATGTACCTTAGAAGGACGCAGAAGACAAAGAGCGGCTAGCGAATCAGACAATTTGTTCAGCAGTTTTAATAGTATTGGATCTCCAATACCAGGCTATGATAAGTAAGTTGTTATTTTTATCTGTTATCAGCGCTGTGGGAACCAAACTTATCAGTTGGGAAATAGCAATTGATTAATTTAATAACATCATTTTGCATGTAATGGAATACTTGAAAGTTCAATTTAGTGAATAGATTTGTATTACACAATATTATTAGTTCCCTTTGTGCATGTTGAAATGCCATTTATTAGTGATAAATGTGTTAAGAGTAATACTAGTTGTGTTATTACTGGGATTATTAGGTAATATTAATAACCGTTTCTGGTAATATAATTCCAATTTATTGTAATTGTACAATGAGGAAGTTTGTGTACATTTTAGGCAGATGTGTTGTTTTTTTAGGTTATACACATGGTTTTATTTTTGTGTATGCATTCAATGACAGAAGCTTACAATGAGTAGCGATAACATGCAAAAAGTATTGAATTAAATAGGCTTCATAGTTTTCCTTCAATGTGTTCTGGGTGTAGTTAGAATTTAGGCAAGTAAAGGTAATGCGACTGTGTAGGTGTGATTACATGAAATATGTTGGTACCTGTAATAATTTAAGTGTATTTTTGATTATTTTAAGCCTGGCTAAGGCCAGGCTTAAAATAATATGACATTTTGGGCAAATATTTGTTAAAATCTTTCTACTTTTATCTTACTAGGAAGTTGACACTTTAAAATTATCTCGATAATTTCTTGTATTTAGTATGTAAGTGACCTCTCTGTATTCTGTAGGTTATCAAAAATAAAACCAACTTGTTTATTTACAGGAATCATTACTTTATTGATAATCACTTTATTAGCTACATGAATGATTTCTATATCGGCCTATTATGGGGTAACAACCTTGTATTGATAAGTTCATTACTTCTCACTCTGGGTAGGGGAGGGGAGGTATATTTTTAGATATTAACACCCACTCATGCTCAGGTGGATAACTAGGTCAGTATGTTAAAGGGATTATTGTGTTGTATACCTTTATGCAAGCTATATACTAAAGACATATAGCATTTTAATACTACCTTGTATGCAGAAATGTTATTTGATATAGTATTGATTTAAGTTGTTGAGTACCATCGTTATAGACACAATTAAAGAACAATAGGTTGCGGTCACCGGTGACCGCTCGGTGTTTGACAGTTTAATAAATACTTAGTCAAAGTCAAAATCATTTATTTCAATTAGACCAGGAAGGCACTTTTGATAGTCAAAACTTATGAATTCTTTCATACAAATATTCAACTTAAACATTCGGTTTTCTTGTGTGAGACAGAGATTTCACTTAATACCTATATTTTTTTATAATATATCCAATTAATATGATTGTTATATTTAGTAAGTAATTAAATATTCATAGTAACTACAAGAAAAGTTATTCTAAAATTATAGTTGTTTAGAATTGTGAAATTCATTTGTTATTTATTGCCATAGAATTGAATTATATATTAAATTATATATTTTAAATTAATATAATTTTTATTTTAAAAAAATATAATTATATTAAATTATATAATTATATATTGAATTATAAAATTAGTAGAATTGCCAGTGTTCGGCAATGACGCGCGTTATATGGACTAGTGACGCACACATTGAAAAATGAAACTTATTTATGATATAAATAAGATATAATATTATCATGTAGGCTGTAAATGAAATAGTAGGTATTAAACCCTTCAAATATTGTGGAATGTTACTTATAATAGAATATAATAGTTATATTTAGAGACCTGATATAATTATGATAATATTTGTTGAATGAATAACTCATTTAAATTGTGTCAATTTGCTTCTTCAACTTACTGTCATCATCAGATCATGAGCTGATGGCAAAATGTCAGACCATGAGCTGATATACTCCCTTTTTACCTGACTAGGATGGGTATTGTTATGTACTTTAATTACGTACAGAGCCCCACTAGAATATTTCAATTTTTATTATTAATTAATTTTGTATTTCGAATTGAGTTAATAATAATAATGCTTTAAAAAGTTAAGTCCAGAAGTTGGTTCATCTTACAGCTCTATTTACAATTTCTTGACAACTTCACCATTACATAGAGTTATTTAAAGGTGGAAACTGAGTTAATCAATCATATACATAGTTGTTTCGTACATAGATAGCAATCTATATCACTACAAATTATACCTCCCAGATAGTGAGTCTGATATTTTGTCTATGACCTTGACATCTTGATAAACGCACGAGACAAGTTTGTATTGTATGCCGATATGACACGTGCAGCACGTGATAGTATCATATTTTTTTTTTTGTTTTCATTAGTTGGTATCTACTAGAAGTTTGAATACTTTGAAGTATTTAGTATAGGGATGGTTTAGGAAACGGAAAATAATCATTATGGTCTCAATCCCAAATAAGCATTGTGCTCTTTAGCTTGAAAAGCTCTACCGGTCCTATCTCTCCAGTCAAACACCCACAGATTAATATTTCATAACAGAATTTTAATTCCCATTCTGATTTGTATTATTTGTGTTACTAAAACGTCTTTTTTTTGTTTCTAGCCGTTTATCATACCTCTCGACGAACACGAAACGTGCCAAAGACAATTCGGGTATCGGTTATTCTTATGGATCAGCGATCGCTAGTCTCGGTAGTGGGACAACAGTCAAAAGTCCTACCAGGAGCTCTAGTGGGTCGAAACAACCCCGTGTACGTAAAGATCAAATGGTGATGAAGGACGACCATGATATGCATTTATTGAGAACCACGGCTATCAACGAAACTGTTCGTCTTGATTCTAGAATGGATATGGTAAGTAGAATTAATTAATATTTTTATGGGATAAGCCGGTAACCTAACAGACGGATAATCTTATGGTATGGGAATCGGCACCACCCAATGACATCGGAAACACCAGAGGCGTTACAAGTGCGTTACCGCCCTTTTGGGGATTTATATTTAGTATTCATCTGTTAAAGCAGGATGATGGCGTTGATCTGGGTGAACCCATATTACATGGTAATGATACTGTAATAAGCTATGAACTTATTAAACTTAAAATTTTCAATTAATTTCATCAATTCAGAAAAATATTAAAGCTTTTGCATGTGGTACTTGCAACTGGCAGGCAAGTCAGGCAAGGAATTTAGCGATGGTAATAGATGAAAAGTAGGTGTGAATGATGGAATGAGGTCTGGTTGGAGAGAATAGAAATGAAAGTCATGTTGCACCAATCCCAAGTAACTTAGGTCAAGGGCAAGGTGTGTAGGGAAAAGCAGGTTGCTTATAATGGGGAATTATCTATGGGCTAACGAAAGTTTCAATGCGTTACTGGATGAAAATGAAATTAGTGGAACATTTTTGTTATCGATATAGGTTGACTAGGTAGGTACTAACATCTTACAACATTTTATTTAACCGACTTCAAAAAGAAAAAAGCCAGAGGTCCGCGCATTGACCTGTATGTATGTATGTTTGTGCGCGATTATCTCGCAATTGACTGCACCGATTTTGATGCGGTTTTCAGAAAAGTGTTTGTTACACTTAGGAGAAGGTTTTAGTATAATAATAATTAACAGCCTTAAAAAAAAGAGGGGTATGTTATCGCATTTTTTTAAACGTATTTTATAAATGAACTATTTTAACAAGGCGAACTTATACCTCGTTATGTTATTCTCTATTAGGCAATTTCGTTGTAAACCATAATTTTGTATTAAAAAATAAATATGTTGTCTTGTCATGTGATATGTATTGACGTTGTACGCGATGCGCTTCGTTAGCGCAGTGCGTCTACTTATAGGTCTTATCGTATCTATGACGTCTGCGCATCGTAGGCGTGGTTGCGTATGCGCAGTTTTCTTTCTTAAAAGTGTTATTTTTTTACCCATTTTACCTTTTGAGACAAAATTTAATCGTTGCAAATAACATGCTATTATCGCATGTAGTTATGATGTTATTTTAGACGTAAACGCGAAAATGTAATAAATTAAACATGAAATCGTTAATTAGAATTTACTGAAACGGGTATATTGGCTGTTGTTTTCAGTTTTGCGTACGTCAAGCAACAAATCATTTTCCAATGAGTAGGTCGGTAACTTATTGCATTCAGGATTAGAATCTAATCGTTACTATGCTCCAGTAATTATAAATGCATGCTCTTTGCGTCATTTATGTTATTGGGGACTTTTTTGTCAATTTATAGAAGCTACAATTATTGTACCTACCTGGTCACCCTCTATTATAACATGGGATTGCAATGCAGCTGTTGCACACACCTGCCTACCCTTTCAGAGAGTGTATGTAATTAAAATACACCCTCCTCGATTCACAAATAGTGATGTATTGCAAGTAGTAGAGAGAAAAGAAGTACCCAATGCTCTCCCCCATCCCCTATCCTTCAAACCCCTTCGGAGTCGCGGAGAACCTAACGGGTTACCGGGGCTCCGGCTCAAAGTGCAGGAGTAGGAACGGGGTGGTTTTTAGTCAGTAAGAGCGCCTTACCTAGGCGGGAGAAGTAACTCGATGATTTTCCGCCCTTAAAAAAAAAAAACCCTCATACCCCAGGTCCTATCAAGAAATCGCTAAATACCCAATCCCTAAAATACTGGCAACACTCTTATAACTCCTCTATGTCCATCCATGGGCGGAACCAATTGCTAATCAGTATATAGAGTACTAGCTTTTACCTGCGGCTTCGCTCGCGTCCCATAAGGATAAAAAGTAGCCTATGTGACATATCGCGAACGCGCCATCTATACATCATTTCGTTTTCCCTCAATAATATAAAAAGTACCCTATTATTTAATCCAGACTTCTAACTTCACGTCTGCAAAAATTCAAAGCAATCGGTTTAGTAGTTACGGCGCGAAAGTGGAACAAACAAACTCACTTTCCGATTTATAATATTAGTAAGGATGTGTTTTTTTTATTTCGTACCATTCCGTGCGTCTGGTCGTGTGTAGTATTTTACGTCAACGATATACGTGATACGTAAAAGAAACTATTTCCTTGCTCACGTATCCGTCATCACTATTCAAAATCTATTCATATTCGTCTTAAAGCGATTATTCAAGTCTCAGGATTGTTTATTTCTCATTCATGAGTCATGTTTCAAATTCCTTCGTGTTATAAATGTACTAGTACTTGCCCTGTGGATTTACTTGCGTGGATTTGTGCAACTACTTTAGCCTAGTTATAAATCGATGAGTAATTTTTAAGGTAGTTTTGTTGGCTGGTTGGTAAAACTTGCGATGCATGGGATGTATGAACATTGAACATAGTCATATTTTACATAGTTAATCGTGTTCCAAACAAACATACATTTCAACGTTAATGTTAGTATAGCAGAGTTGATTTTAGCATTAGCACGTGTTTTTAATCCCGTATTAATTTTGAATTTCTGTTGGAATTGTGTCAAAGGCGTGTTCTTAAATTTTCCGCGGTTCATTGCGGAAATAGAATGTTTTTGTTGTATAATCGCCAGGTGATAATTTGTGAATTTAATCGTGAACCACTGAGAGATTTTATGAAACAGTTTGTGTGGGTATAGTGGTGTGTTCTTAGAACTTATTTAATCATAGTGTGGTTGTGATGTATTCGTGCCGGTCTTGTCAAAATTCTCGCCCCTAATTGCATGGAAATTACAACGTAACAGGTGGAGTACAGGATATTTTCAAACGATATTTGGACACGGTTCAAATTCCAGTACGTACGATACTTCGGTTACACAAACTCCTAAAATATTCGTTAAACTTGACTCACAATTTATAACATCATCGTAAAATAAACCAAACATTACCAGCACGCTCACTAATAAACCATACAGAAACCATAACGCTGTCATCCTTTACCATAACTTTCATGTAAAACAATGAAAATAATTCGGATATCTTAATTATAATCTGACGACAATAAAATTACTTTACGACCGAAGAATCGCACTCAAAAGAAAATTTATTAACAAAAAACGTCTGTTTACACAAGTCTCATTTTTATCACAGATTTTCGCGGAAGTTGTGGAATTTTTCTACTCACCGTGGTTATTTTCGATGATATGACCAAGTTAATTTTCTTTTATGAATGTGACGTGTTCGCGGTTCGTATTATGCAAGACGCAGCCAAGCCGTGTGTCATGCAACAAACTTTGTGACGGCATCGCAGTGGCTATCGGCTAGTCTGTGACGTAGTTTCGCTGTAGGAACTCGTATTTTGGGAGGTATGGGTTTCCTGAATAAAGTTTGGAAGAAGTTTTCTCAGAATGTAAGTGATTCAATTAAACTTTAAGTGTTTTGCCAATGAAATATTTAATTGAAACTTGTTTTTATTGGACCAATTTTTTTGTATCTCTGTACTCGATATGAATAACATTGGTCCTTTCATTCCCTAAGTTGTATCAAAAAGTCCCATCTTATTATTTTACATCATCTAATAATATTCATTAAATACGCACAATATTAATTAACTCAATATCTTTGAACAAAGGGAAAAGGATGCAAAAGACTTTTTCACTCGGAAAATATTAAAAATGTTGTGAAAAAAGTTTTCAATTGGTTATCGATCCCAAGGAGGCGGCGGCGCCCGCCTGTCTCTAGCTTTTGGCGCGATTTTCAGCATAACTTGGCGAGCGCTCGACGAAAAATGTTGATTACAAGTATACACTTGAGATATTACAGGAACTTCAAAATTAAAAAAGTAAATACTTTCAGCAATATTACGTAGCGTCAATAATAATAATTGGTTGCCTGATAACATTTCATTTTCAAGTTTTAAAGTGTCTGTGATTAATTAAATGAAATCCTATTACTTTCACGTGTGACAAGTTTTGTGACGGCTTTTTTTTGTTTAATCAACCGTGTTAATTTATGTGTGGTTGTGTAGGTGTGGATCGGTTTATTGTTACTGGTTACATCTCGTCCAGTCTTGTTTTATTGTCTTGTCTTGCCTGTTTAATTCTGTACACTTTAAATTTTATTGTGGCATCGGTTCACGCGACCTGGCTCCCCGCCAAAAGTTTACAAAATGTCAATACGATGCATTATCACTGTTACTACCGTGCCGTTTCCATCTCCTGTCAATTCGTACATATTAATTAGTTAATTACTCGAAATTTGTGACAGAAAGTGTTAAAGAAAATTGTTGTGTAAATGCACCCTTTTAGGGTCGTTCAAAATTTTGATATTTAGATCTTTGGTTCGTGAACCTTGACATGTTTTGTGTGGTTATATTTGATCTGCTGATTGAAATGAAGAAGTTTAGTTAAGTGTTCATCTGTCAAGATACCGGTGTTGCTTGCCAAAATTATTTGCGAAAGTAATGGAGTATGTTGTTGGTAAATCTCTGAATATCTTAACTTATTTTTGTTGACCTATTTTGTTAAAGAGGTACTCAACTAAATCTGACTGTATTTCGTATTCAATTTGATCTTCTAGCAAGGAATCTAGAAGCGTGTTTTAGAATATGAACACGCTGGCCCTTCGACCCTTATTGCAATAACAATATGGTCCATTTCAGCCTGTACCTTTTTTAACAGCAATTTTGTGAATACACAGTTCCATTTTCCAAAAAGAACATATTATTATCATCAGAATCTTATACACATATTTCTATATTATATCGTTGATAGTTGAAGGCGTGATGAACAAACTCTTCGTCATTTTCACGTTTATTAGAATGAACTTAAAATTAACAGAAAGCTTTTTACTAGCATGCTATTAGGATCTATTTCTGCTTCAGTTTAAAATAGAAGATCCTGTGACATTAAGTTCGAACATAGTATTTCGTTACTGCATAAATTATTAGAAACTGTTGACTGTACGGTTCTCTCGAAACTCCATTTTATAAAAGTTACATACACCTCACAGATATCCGACGTGATAACGCTTGCTTTGTGTTTCGTCGTGTGAGTGATATTACCGGAGGCCCAATTACCCCCGAATTTCCCTAATCCCCGATTCCCCAACAGTCGTCAAATTTCTAACCCCCAAAAGGCCGGCAACGCGCTTGTAACGCCTCTAATGTTTGAGTGTCGATTGGCGGCGTCGATTGCTTACCATCAGATGATCCATCTGCTTGTATAGTGTCTTAAGTGTCTAGGGATAAGTCTCTATAAAAAAACATATTCCACAAATTCTTGTTTCGTGTCTGGTTGTGATATTTATGTGACGACGACATAGGGGAAAATCTGAGTAAAGGGCAAAAAAACATGAGTTTCAAAGGCGAACCAACACAATAGAAAACCTAGCTATTCTTAAATCCACTTAGTTATTCGCTAGGCCACAATGTGCTCTAAATCTAAAACATTGCATCCTTGACCTAGTGTACCGCTTTGTCGATGTAAAGGTATTGTCTACGCTACATATCTATGTACACAGAATACTGAAATATTCATTCTTGTTTCCTTGTTGTCTATAAATTGAAATGGAATCTACTGGGCCAATTTGAAAGAAAATCACCAATACAATGTTTATAAAATGCTAAAAATACCGTAAAAAGTATTTTATAAGAACCTAGCTTTCCGCCTGCGGTTTTACCTTGAGTTTAGAAGATTTTTTACGGTTAAAAAGAATCTATGTTGCTTTTCGAAAACTTAAACTTCAACTCATATTGTGGCTGAAGGAGTTATACCTTTATATCAGTCTCATAGATATACCTAATAAAAAAGTTTTGTTTGAAGCGGTTTTTAATATTTCTGCCCATATTCTAAAATAAAAATGATGCTTTTATAGCCTCAATTTTGTGGCGGTATCGTCGATTCTAACACGTCGTGATGAAGCGCACAGTTACGTATTTTTTTTAAAAGGGGGGAAAATCATCGAATGACTTCTCCCGCCATTAGGGTGAGGCGGAAGGGAGTGTCAGAGTCTTACTGACTAAAAACCACCCCGTTCCTACTCCTGCACTTCGAACCGGAGCCCCGGTAACCCGTTCAGTTCACCGCGGCTCCGTACAAGAGTTACGTTAGCATTATGTTTAGAAAAACAAACAAATACATTTTGAATTGATAACTTTAGTAAAGGTTCTTTATTCTTTAAACAGTTGAATAACAAATGTGTACTGAAATGTACTGAGTGATATGTTGTTAGATAAAGTATTTAAGAGAGGTTTCGAATGATTGGAAGTCGCGCGTGTTTGGTATGTAAAGCATGTGTTCGTTTGGCTCATTTCCTACACAATTATCTGAATAAATACTACTGTTATTTTGTGTAATAATAGCCACTTGAAGTTTTTGCAATACTTACGTAAATTCTTTAAAAAGCACATGTGTGTCATAGCTTTAAGCCTATGTAACAACCCTGTAACACCATTATTCACTTTATGGAATGCAAATAAATGAATTAAATAGAAAATGGTTTACGAATCAGTGGAAACGAGATCGCAAAACCCAAACAAGTCATTTACTCTTCAACAGTATACTAAATTCTCGTACTTCCCTGTAGCCACGCCAAGACACGCCCACGCCCACGTGCCCAGCGGTGAGCCCAGCCCTACCTGTAAGTTCAGTGACCACGATTCCAGTCGGTAAGAAAGCCGTCAAAATCAAGAAAAAAGTGAAGTCTGCCAAGTCCAAAGGTACCAAGATGAAGACTGGAAATAACACCGACTGCTGCGGACTCGATTTGGAAACTGAAGAGTAAGTTCCTTCTAACTTAGCTAATATAAATCCTAAGTACGCAGTAGCAAGATTCATTTTTAACTTTCAATGCTTAGTTCGTACTGGATCTTGGTAAGGAAACTGCTTTTGTAATGTGGTTTCACAGAAGGTTTTTTTTAAAGAAAAGTAGACTAATCTGGAGATTAGATACTCTAGACTATATTAATGACGGAAATAAATGACATCAAATTTATAAAATAGTAAAATATTAATTCTATAGAACGATGCCAAAAATAGACCTTAATACAAAGATTTTAGGTTATTATTAATTAATTAAAACTATGTAAGATTTAAGATCTACAATTTTAAAGTCAGGAAAGTAAAATATATAAATACACGTTTAATATCAAACTACCGTTACTATCAACTATCATTTTAATAAATAAACGTGATTAACTAGGGTTAAATAAAGTAGGTCAATCATCTACACTCTAAAAAAAACTTTAATACAAGCAATTGTATACAAATATCTAACATGGGGGCCCTCTAGCTACCACCGACCACGTGGCGTACTCAAACGTGCTATTTAAAATTATATTGCGCACAAAAACGGCACGTGTTTCTACGGATAATGTTATGTAAAGTAGTAGGTACTTTAGATAGATAAGTTTTTTTTATATCAAGGATGGTCCTGTTTCCGTGTGTGTGCAACGTTTTTCAATAATTTTATCTGACATAAGAACATTTGTATATTTTGTTTCTAAATAGACGGGACAGGGGAAAAATAAAAACGTTGTAGTGGATTTTTTCCAAAAGAGAGACAAAATTGTTTAGAAAATTTTCAATTTGTTGATAATATTTTACACGTCAAACAGACATCTTCTACGAGCTCTCTAGCGTTTTATTGGAATCGTTTTTGCGCCAATGAAGCAATGAAATATAAGCAAATAAACAAACGATTCGTCGAATGCGATAAATCACGTATGACGTCCACACGATGTTTAGGTAATCCCATATACTGTACCACTGTACGTACGCCAGCTGTTATACGAATAGTAATAACAAAGAAGATGCATTTTATATCCTGGATTCGTAATAGAACTCCCACTCTTAGATAGGTTTTGAATGAAATATCAAGAGTAACTCGGAAGTTTGATTTTCAAATCGAATTTGTTGACCCTGAATTGTAAATCAAAAGTTAAGAGAGAAAAAGCATCTATCTTACGTATCATGGCTTTTCCTAGGTTTTAACTATGAATTGAAAAGTTCATAGCATACTTACTGCCCATAGTAAATTATTATGTCTAAATGTAAGTAATTCTTTACCACTATTTGCAACGTATTTTGGTAACCTTATTCCCGCAATGCGGTCTGCGACATCCTTTGGGTTAACAGCCTGGGAAAATTACTTTTATTCGTTTTCCAACAAAATGCCAATTTAACCTTTTTTTGTTATGAAAGTTTATTGCAGCTTTTATAGTTCTAATGTTAATTTAACCGTTTCGACTATGAAATATTTTCACCATAACAACAAACTGAAATAAATATGTGATAAAGTACAAAGTAACAACTTAAAAATTATTGGTCAAACTAATTTGTGAACGAAGGCCACTTGACCTTCGAAGATTAAGCATTTTTTCATAAAAAAATGCATAAAAAGTAACAGGAAAAAGAATTTCACAATAACATCATATTAATTAACCAAATTAAACTTTGTTTCCAGTGCGCTCAGCAGGTCCCCATCACCAGATCCGTTAATGGACCACTGGCAGATGGACACTGACGCGGCTTTAGCGGAGCTGGAGATCATGGAAGAACCGGGTTTGCCTTCAACAGCCAAAAAAGACGAGGAGAATCTCACGCTAGTCACCAAACTATCTAGCAAGCTCAATGGAACTGTTGTTACTCCGAAGAAAGCACACTCAAAAGGTAAAAGTCATAATGTAATTGCTACTACTAATTTTACTAGAGATATTTCTAAACTACATCTGCACCTTTAGCGCGGGTGCCAGAATACTAGGTGTAGAGAGATCGCGTAAAAGATCTTTTTTAATAGTAGTGGCACACAAGAAAGCAGGTCAGGGTATTTGGTGCACCCAGGCTATACAAAGACTCCCCATGTCTAGCCACTCGATTGACAAACAGACGTTTTCGGTTACTTATCGTATCATCATCATCAACAGCCTATAAATGCCCACTGCTGAGCAAAGCCTTTTCTCACACGAAGAAGGTTTGAGCATTAATCACCACGCTTGCTCAATGCGGGTTGGCGATTACAAACTTATGATTAGAAATTATAAGCCCAGGTTTCCTCACGATGTTTTCTTTCACAGTTTGTCAGTGGTGTCTAGATAATCTTAGAAAGTACATATAACTCAGAAAAGTCATATTGGTATTTGCCGTTGACAGGTTTCGAACCCGCACCCTCATGCATGAGAAGCGGGAACTCTTAAACTCTCGGGGCCACCACGACATATCGTAAAATTCAAATAAATCTTTAAGCCTATCTAGTTTCTCGTCTGTCAGATTTTGTGATTTCACTTCGCTGTGACTTAAAAATCAGTTGGTTTAACTTGAATCACAAACTCTGCTATGTTTAGAAAGAGTACTAGGACCTACTTAGAGCTTAGATCGGAGCAGACAGATACAATTAATAGTAGTCTACACTTTAAAGTTAGATTTGTAGTTAGTCTAAAGTTACCTGACAGTTTCTAAGCGAGTTAGTAGTTGTCTCAACAGCAAAGTTTCGCAAAGTTGAGGAGTCCAGTTCTATTTTGAAGATAATAATACAATAGAGAAACTATGCGTATATAGTAATATAACAATATAAGAAATAACCTATTTTCATAACAGAATAGTGATGATGACAGGTATGAAAATTAAAAATCGAATCCAAAAGTCCGTCAGTTAGCTAATGAAAAAATATTAGACACGTATTTTTTATTTTGTCGTATAATAAAACAATACTTAGATAAAATGAATCAAAGTTTAGGAGTGGGAGATAGCTACGTCATTTTAGAGTATAAATCGTACTCAAAATTGACGTTATACGATATTTCAAATTAATATATCGTCGAAACTATTCGTTTTTTAAATAATCTACCAGACGGACATTAAAATTAAAATAAGTCATCTACCATATTGTGGATGAAACGGCGCAATTCAATTTAATTAGCATTTTGTCAATGTCCTGTACTTAAGTAAATATTCATGAAATACAATTAGGTTATAGATTATACTAATGATAGTACAAGAAGTAAGTTAGGCTCGGCTAAATTATGTAAGTTGAATAAGTAACGGTATAAATGTGAGGGGTAATTTATTGTTAGCTAGTTACCCATGGTACGGTGTTTATTTCAGTTTCAGACACGCGAACTATGGTGTTCTATCGCCATGAATTTAGGTTCATAGAGTTTGTGAATCGTGTTCTTGTTTGTGGTTCGTTGTGATCAATAGGGTAGACGACTAATTTTTATTTTAATGTCCGTCTGGTAGATTATTTAAAAACATTAGACACGTATTTTTTCTTTTCTCACAGAAACGAATAGTTTCGAAGATATATTGATTTGAAATGTCGCGTGACGTCACTTCTCAGTACATTTTATACTAAGAAATGACGTTTTAGCCCCCACTCCTAAACTTTGATTCGTTTTATCTAAGTATTGTTTTATTATACGACAAAATAAAAAAATACGTGTCTAATATTTTTTCATTACCTAACTTACGGACTAATTATATTTTTAATTTTCATACCCTGTCATCATCCCCATTTTGTTGTGTTTGGTGATTAAGACTCCTTTGATGTAAATGCGTAAAGGTGTTATACAGCAAAGTTAACTATTATATTTATCGACTTACGTCCGAATATTGAAAGTCTACTCAATTTTAACTTGTAATTAAATATAGTACCATCTCTGTTATTTTACTAAGAATTCGTAATGACAGAAATATATCTACTAAAGCGCCTTTAAAAAATTTAGTGGCGTTTGAGTATTTGGACATTAGTGACGTAACAGTTTGTTGAGGAATTAGATTACTTTCAAGCCACGCTATGCAATGCTCCTCATGAATATGAAATCCTAGCGTGATTAAGCCAGTAAACAGTGATTTAGTATGTTTCATGCAACTTATAATTTGTTTAAAGTTGTTGAGTGATTATTTACAATACAATAGAACATAAAACATCTTACGATTCTTAGTCCTAATAAAAGTAAAGAGTTTCACATAGGCAAAAAATTATTTAGAACTCTAAAGTTGTCATTCATACCATGCTACACCGCTACGGTTCACGATTTACAAAATCAATTCAACAATCTTCACAATGAATAACTGAAAACAATCAATTTGTAAAACAATTTTACTACCTGTAGTATTCAAGTCATTACAATTCATTACAATACATTTCGTTGTTTGCAGACAAAGTATCAAAGGATCAAATGTTTCTGACAGCTTTGCACACAACAAATCCGTTCAAATCAATGCCGTCACGCAAAGGCAAGATAATCCCCCCCACTTACATAGCGCCACTAGTTCAATAGCTTCCCAACATTACACGCTATTCAGTAATAATTTCAATTAAAGTAACGTAACTTTAAGTCGAGTTTTACTTACTTTTTTATTTAATGTCTATGTTGCGTTTTGTACCTGTATTATGTCTGTTGTTCGTAATGACACGTTATATTCATTGTTGTGTCGCGTAGATTTAGTTGTATGCGGATATTTTTTGTCATTATCTTTGGCTCTTGTTCAATTCTTTTCAATCGTCATTAGATCTGTTATTGTCTACTTTTCTTTGTTTAATGTGTTACATGCAGAATGCTTTCCTTCATTTTATTATTTTTGGTATTTGCATTTTTGACCTTATCGCTATTAGAATAGTGTATCATATTGATCATGTTTTATCTTGTAAGATATGTATGGCATATAGACTAACATTTTTTATTGGTCATTTAACTCAATGTTCTCTTATTATTATTATTTTAAATCCATTTATATTACATTAGTATTTTGTGTAGAAGTTACTGTAATTTTTCCATACAATTAAGTACAATTCCTAGTAATATTTAATAGCTATTTTAACATCACTTGGTTATCTGAGTTCAATGAACAATTTTCAATTTCAGAATCACCAGTATTCTTACCGGAGTCGGTGGCGAATTGTCTTCGGCCCTCCCTGTTCCCTCGCGTGCCACCCTACCTCAAATTCATAGGTCACGAAGAGAGCCCCTGCCTCAAGGTACCTCTGCCGATACAAAAACATCTGAAATGGAAGCTGACTACGATCACGCCAATAGTTGTGAAGAAGACGTTAACAAATTCTGGTTTTCGGTTGGTAAAGAGCGAATGTGATACTGCAGAGTGCCCGCAAGAAGGTAATGTTATACTTTTTATTATTACCAGTTTTGACTTAAGGGATGTGTATTATTTTATCTTCTAATTATTCTATTTACTTACTAGTATTAGCAGTAGTTGTAGTTGATGTAGTAACCTCTAAAATATAAATAAAGCTAATTAAATAATGCGAGTAATGAATCTTATCCTGTCTAAATAAACCCAAGTTATTTGGGCACATTACCTACATTTGTTTGGGTTCCATAAAATATTACTAAGAATTTCGAAATATAAAAGCTCCATAAACTATATTGCTAATTTTGCTACTAGATGTAATAAAAAATTTTAGTGTATTATAGTAATTATAATAATTTTACAATATAATCGAAATCAGCAGAGCGGACGATTCGTCTAAATTTCTAAAATAGATGATATTATTACAGAGACAATAGAATGGATTGGTATTTGGGGCAAGCATATGAAGTCGATAATGTTCAGAGCTATCAAAGATGGGCAGAAGATGAATCATTTCCCTGGCACCTTTCAAATCGGTCGTAAAGATCGGTTGTGGAGGAACTTACAAAAACTGGTCTGCAAGTATGGGATCAGTGAGTTTGGTATAATGCCGAAGACTTACGTGTTGCCCCATGATATGAAGCTGTTGAAGCACGATTGGGAGAAATATGCTGCTAACAACGAACGATGGATCATCAAACCGGTATGTAATTTACGTATGTGAATGTGATGCTTACGCTTTGCGGTTTCGAAATAAACCAAAAAGTTTAAAACTACGAAGACATTTGTGAATAATAATAATTGTGAAATAATTAAAGTATTCGAGGATGCTCGTCTAGTTTCAAGCCACACCGGAGTTTACAATTTGGAGCTGTGTGGTTCCACTGATCGCTAAATCGTTATTTTTATTCTTAACTAATTGATGATTGCATTCTAATTTTATATTTAAAGGAAAAAATACATTATATGTATTATCGTGTAGCTAATGTAGTGTAGTGCGAAGTAAAATAATGTATCTTATACTTCCATGTTCGCAGTCGTCATTGACATTGATCAATCTAAAAGTATAATATTTATGAGTACTTACGTCAATATTTACGACAGTAACGTAAACTTTTTTACCCACGTCTAGACAAAATAAAAACGGGGTGCATAAATATACATTGATTGTATTTGAATGAAGTACTTCTTGAGTTTCAAGGACAATTCGTTTCATTATTCAATACGTGTTGTTGATGTTATTATCTATTATCTGTATTTTATTGTGTTAATGTTGTGATATTTTAATAATTAAAAGACAATCAAGTTATTTGCTAATTTAAATAGGCATAGGTTTACAATAAAATACAAAAAATACAAAACGAGAGGATTAAAATATTACTTTCTGCTTTGCGCGCAATTTGATAATATTAATTTTAACTCAGGGTGTCATTCTTTACAAATTATATAAAAAGCTTTCTTAATTTCCAGCCGGCTTCAGCCCGCGGTACTGGCATCAAAGTAGTATCCAAATGGACGCAGATCCCCAAGAAGCGCCCCGTAGTGGTTCAGCGATACGTGTCGAAGCCCTACCTTATCAACGGCAACAAGTTCGACCTCCGGCTGTATGTACTCGTGACGTCAGTACACCCTCTTCGGATATATCTATATAAGGATGGACTGGCTAGATTTGCTTCAGGTATGTTTACATTTTGTAGTTATCTACTATAATATTTAATGTTACTGGGTTTGTAAAAACCTCAATAGTATCACGAAGCCTGGAAATGTGCCCAGTATATGGCAATAGACTCACCCCCTATTACATGGGACTAATAACATAAATAGTGAAAAGTGGGTGTTACATTGTTCAGTGGCATTAAGTGCCGTAATGTGCACCTCTGCCTACCCCTTCGGGAATAAAAGGCGTGATGTTATGTTATGTATTTTACTAGTATGAAGATTCAAATTAATGATCAGTTTTGAAAAATATCCGTTTTTATTAAATTTACTTTTTCTTAAATGTAATTTAATGTTATCTGGGACTAACCATTTGATAACGTCGGAGTTAAATACATTTGTGTATGAATAAACCGCTTTTGTGGGTGTCGGAAAAATCATCTATCGCGATAAGGCCGCCCATTGTATACACTAATTTTGTTCTCTTGTAATTTTGTAAGGTGTCCAATAAAGTAGAAATTAAGTTGACTAACCGCCGGAACTAATTTCAATCTTCTTTTATGGATTTTCTGTCAAAATCGATCGTACTTTATCCACACATTTTATATTATAGATGGCCAGTAATTTCGGCCGTAAGTGACATTCGTGTATTGCTTTAGCAAGAGAGTAAATACCGTTCGTCCTAATTTACACATTTCTTTGATTACAGTAAAGTATAACGACGAGCTGGCATCGTTGAACGATAGGTATATGCATCTGACGAACTACTCTATCAATAGATTGTCTAAGAACTACACGCCGAATGAGGATTTTGCGGCCTGTGAAGGACATAAATGGTTAGTATTAGTCTTTTAAATTAACCGACATTTTTTTAACAGCTGGTGGGCAAACTAGCAGGCATTTCTCTTGATGGTAAGCAATCAGCGCCGGCCATGGGAGGACTTCCGCAACACTAGAGGAGTTTTTTTTATTATTTTTTTTACAAGTTCGTTGCCGGCCCTGTAGAGAGGGGACAACGGCATCACTTTTTACGGCTTTATACTGAAGCATGACGTCTTAAAAAACTAGAAACTTTATGTTAGACATAGAATTTCGAAACATTGTTTTCTAATTTTTATAACAATATTTTTCAGGACACTACAAACGCTACTACAATACTTGAAAGCTGAGAAACGTGTAGATACAGAAAGTTTATGGAATGCCATGAAGGATCTTGTAATAAAAACAATAATATCTGGAGAAGCAAGTATTAGTTCACTGACCAAAGCCAATATCACGTCGAGGTACAATTGCTACGAACTCTTTGGAATTGACGTATTGCTGGACGAAGATCTTAAACCTTGGTTATTGGAGGTACAGTTATTAATTGCTTTTTTAAACCCTACAACAAACAAGTAGACGAATTGTCTTATGGTAGTCAATCGGCGTCGCCTCCGGACATGCACAACGCTAGAGGAGGTATAGGGAATTTGGGGGTTGGGATCATGAGGATTGGGCCTCCGTTAAACACACTCACACGGCGAAATACAATGCACACATTGTTACACGGTATTCTGTAAAGTGAATATCGTGGTATCACTTTGAAGAGAAGTAATGGCTCTCCTTCTTTAAAATTTCTGCCGTACCATTCCAGGTGAACATATCTCCGAGCTTGCACAGCGCATCTCCCCTGGACATTCACGTGAAGGGTCCGCTGGTCACCACCGTCCTCAACATAGCGCAGTTCCAAGTTCCTGTAAAGACCAACCTGGAGATGCTCTCCAAGGATAAACCACACAAACTGGTGATTTTTACATATCTCCTATACTGTGGCTGAACAACTGATTGCTACCCTTAAATTGACTGGAAACTATATTTTTCCTGAAACATACAACTGAATGTTAAAAATACAGTTGTTTTGTCACAGTGCATGAAATATTCAGCATGTCTGATTTGGCTTTGAGTTCGCAACAGTTTTAAGGCATAAATAGTGCGTGAAATCGCTCGAAATCCCCAGACACGGTACAACATGTTATGTCGTTGAATTCTTACTTAAAGAATTTCGTATTATTAAATTGTTATATCTAGAAACTTGATATTTATCAAGCTATACGTAAACTTAATATCTCACATAAGTTTGTATAGTAGCAACTGCAAGTTAATCGAGGAGTGGAACTCCTTCCCAGAGTGTTACCTGAAAGGTACAACCTGGATGTCTTCAAGTCTCGGGGAATAGGTTACTTATAGGAAGCCATAGAAGATAGGGCTCCATGGTCGGTGTGTCCATGTTCTCCATCTCACATCATAGTTTACCGCCTGGCGAAGTATTTTCTTAACACTGACTTATCAAGTATAAAAAATGTAGATAGAATTCAAGCTAGGTACGTCGTTCAACGTAGCTCACAGTTCCAGGTGCCAGGCCACACCAATATGGACACGGTTCCCAAGCAGAATCCTAAACAACTGGTGATTTTACTGTGATATTATTATGCTGGTGCCAGACATGTGCGCACTTGTTTGTTTACTTATGTGCGCACATTGTGTAGCGCGGACATTTGATGCTAGATTGTCTGTGCCACACGATGTGAACACTTATGTGAATAAACAAGGGGGCACATGTCTGGCGCCAGCATTATGATAGCCTGCGTAACTTATTGTATGGACATGCGATGTCACGCGGTATGCATGCGACGCTATTACTATGGAGTAAAATAATGCCTTGTTTTTTTGTGAATACAGTTAATGATCTTTTATGTTTCGTCCCTTTGTAAGCTCATAGAAAATAAAACGCCCGTTTGACGATCAAAATTTAGTTTTTTAATCACGCGTTTATACGGTTCCAGAAACAATAATTAACTCTTAAACTTCTATGGCAATTGTGTCATAAATTATCCAAATTTTGAAATACTTTTCACCCTAGGTCAAGTGACATCGCAAGTCCACACATGTAGCGACGAATACTTCAATGTGTATAAAGAATATTTTAATGTTTGTCTCCCTCGTTCGTTTCAGTCGGGGTTGCCATACGACAGTCGGTTGTATACAGTGTACCTGTCTAAAGAAGAACGAGATAAGCATATAATATACACTAATATGGAGGATCGGGATATGGTGAGACATTTTTATCTATTTTAAAGTACATTTTACTCGGCGATAAACCTCACGTCGACTTTTGGAAAGAGTAATCCGGTGGTGGTTCTACTTTCAATCTGTTTATGAATCGAGGAGAGTGATCGATTAGCTTTAGCTGTTCTTAATCAAGAGCGGTATACGTGGCGATTTGGCCGATTGTGCCCTTCAAATCTTTGACGTACAATATTTAACGCCCGGTACTGTAGTTTGCTAATCCGCTGGGCTATGTCGGCGACCTTTGTTTGTGTGCGGGTTTCTGAGATTTTTATTGGATCTCGCTAAGAAACTCTGAGCATAGCCCTTTGCATAGCGCGCTGAGTAGGGAGCCGTTGGATGCGGGTCGTTTCCAACCGCCCCATCAGGATGTCATTGAGGGAGGCCTATGTTCAGCAGCTGACATCCTGTGGTTGATATGATGATGATGACTGTAGTTTGAAAATTAAACCTTACAATTGCATTAAGAAGACTCTTACATAAAACAGCTGTCTCACTCTACCTGCCCAGCATTTTAGTTACAAACAACATAATATCCCGCCTTTTATCCCCGAAGGGGTAGGCAGAGGTGCACCTCTGCACATTATGCCACTGTACAGTGTAACACCCACTTTTCACTATTTATGTTATGAGTCCCATGTAATAGGGGGTGAGCCTATTGCCATATACCGGGCACAATTCCAGACTCCGTGCTACTACTGAGATTTTTTTAAAACCCAGTAATACTTTGCCCGATCCGGGAATCGAACCCGAGACCCCTTGCCCGGCAGTCGCAATTGCGACCATTAGGGCAACGCGGCATTTAAGTTATAAAACTAAAATTTTCATAAAACAATTCCAGTATCTACGGGACATACTATCAACATTGACACCGGACGACGTGCGTCACCTCATACAATCGGAAGACGAGTTAACTCAGTCAGGTGACATGGAGAGAATATTCCCAACATACGAGACACACAAGTACTTGGGATTCCTGGCTGGACCCAGGTATTACAACCGACTGTTTGACGCCTGGGAGACTAGATACGGTCGGAATAGGGAACCGGGTGAGTGACATTTGTATATTTTTGTTATTACTGTAAAGTACAATAATCCATTAATTACCTACTTATTGACATCAATTTATTATAATTTACTAAGCATTAAGTAGTCTTCCTCATCTGACTTTTTGACGAAAACTATTGACATGTAATTTATTAAAACACGACAAATTCATATTTACTGATCCAACTAATTAATGGACTTACTGATTTAAACTCTTATACGAGTATTTGTATGCCTAATAACAGGCTGATCATAGCGCACTTTAATCTAAACATGACCAACCAAATGTACCTATGTATCACAAATAAAGTTTTCATTTCATTTTGACATTTTGTCACTCCATCGAGAGTTGAGTAAAGACTACATATTTAAAGTTGAGCTCCAGTGTTCACTGTAAACCTAATCCTACTAATTTGCGATTTCCCTCTGCTGAAGAGGCGACCCATAGCTCAACAATGGACTCCCACATTTTGTTGTTGGTGATGATGATACAATTGTTTTATTTGATTGAAGTATGACTGGTATGATTTAATTTATTGAGGTTTGTCATTTGACCTAACTAAATTAGTTTCGCCAAGGTTTGATCAAAGTTCTTTAATCAGCGGTCGAAAAGCTTCATCTGTTTGGGATTTGACTGAGGCAAAGTCAGACCTAAGAATTGACTAATAAAACTTAGAAGCGTTGGAGCATCGAGGATTGACTACATCATATACATTTGGGTTAATAAAGCAGGTTTGTAAATGAGTATTATATAAATTAAATGTTATGTCGCATGTTCCAGGCTTGGAACTGCTCCGCAACCTGTGTGACATCGGCTACCACCTGGAAGTGCCGCCGGTGCCCCTGAAGGTAACTGTCGCGCGCATCCTGCACTACATACTCGCTTTCACATCACTCATACTCACTCTCTTCACCTTCTGGTGATCTGCTGCCTCTGTTCTGTTCTGTGATGTCCACATGTTGCTTTAGTTTTTTGGTTTTGGGTTCCGACTTTTTATAATTATAGTTCTTTGACTTAACTAAAACTGACGCGCGGGCGCTGTAACATAGAGTTGGCTACGCAACGTCGCGTCGACGCGTCCGCGCACGCTGCTCTTGAGGAAGAGTCCCTGTGTGACTCGAAACTAATAGAGCTTTTCTCAATATATTTACGTGAGTAAACCGTTACTTTAAGTTAATCTAGTATATCACACGATAGTTATTATAAAAGTAAAGCTCTAATAATAGTGTTGTAAAATACCAAAACTATCATAAAGGATTGTAGGCAATCAATACTTCATCTCTTTGCGAAATAAAATCATTACATGGGTCATCATAATACTATTTTCCAAGCAAAACAGGGTTTAGATTGTAGAACAAAAACACTACTAAGAAAACAAATTCAACAAGTGGACATCACACCATTACGCATTATATATCTATGTATATATTGTTTTGTTTTATGTATATTTTATATAAACATTCTTATAATAATAATTAGGTGTAAGTTAACTATAAGTTGGATATCCACTGCCATAATGTGAATAGGTTTATAGGTCGTTAGTCAACACGTGTTATAATTGCAGGCAAGGCCTGGGATAAGCGTGGTGAGACCATTTTGTGATAAGCATGAATTTTACTATCTCTAGTCACTAAGGATTATCATTTACAACCTAATTGATACTCATTTTACAATTTTTCCCATATTATGTAATAATCTTTTGAGCTTCTGTAATTTTATTACTGGTTTTAAATGCTGTTAATCGATACTGATTTTTTTTAAATCGATTTGAGTGGCTTCTACATACATATTTTTCGATTTAATTCTATACAATTTATATCTATATCGGCATTTGTGTACTACAGTTGAAAGGAAGCAATTTAAAAGCATTTATTTGTTTCAAAATAGGTGTTATGTATTATTAAACGTTCGGATTGTGACTGATTGTCAGGGCAAAGTGACAAGTGCGCTCAGGAGAGCATACTTGGGTTGTAAGAGCGTCGCTCACAGTAAGTGCGTAGAGACAAAGAGACAGACAATGTACCAAATAGTGTGGCTACGACCGACTGTCCCGACATAGAGTACAAACCTCGTTGGTCATAGTGTTCCAAACTCCAGGATGCTATAGACAATATAGATAAAACAATAGCGGTTTTTTAAAAAGTTTACGAGCTAGAAGGTTTTATATGTGCTAAATGTATGTAGGTATGTGCAATGTGATAGTGCTAGATTTTTGTACTGGGACGGATATACGGTAATAGAGTTATGTACTTGTTAAAAATACAATATTTATATATAATAGAGTAGCTAAACTAAAATGAATCTAAAAGTAATGTAAATACGAACAAAATCGCATGAAACCGATGTTAGATTTTTTATAAAGAGTATTTTTTATATTGATATACCTATTGCTAATGTTTGTTACACAATTTTATGAATAAACGTTGTTATTTGTAAGTAGGTAGAGTTTATTTTACAATGGATGTGTATAAGAATAATAGCGTAATTCTAATGGTGTAAAGTTCTAGGTATGGTCCACAAAGCCAAAGGTATTTCTCAGTTTTATATATACCTACGATTTACTATGTAAGTACTTAGAAAATTATCGTTAAGTAGAAGTATTGTTAAATTGGAAGTATACAATATTTTGTTGAGCTACTTAGCTGATAATCATTGTAAAAAACATGTTATTATTATAACTGTAGATCTTACTTTTGTAAAGGTAATTCATTAAACATATTAAAAATCTATTTTAGTTCAACTTGTAGAATGTTTTGTCTTGAATTTTAAAGTTAAAGCATTAACAACTTAACTGTCCCCATACAATATTGAGAAACACTCAGTTCTTTACTTTTTTATAGCTCAGGTTTTTTACAACACGTCCATATAGCTTTTATTAGAATTTGGTGCTACGGTCATATCAAAAATACACCCCAAAAATGTACCAAATACATGTGACTCATGAACTTATTCTAAAAGTCCACTGTGATTCGTAGGTGACTCTGGACAGTTGTCTCACATTAAACTAATAAAAAAAACTTAAGTCTCACCCCCTACTACATGGGACTCATAACATAAACAGTGAAAAGTTGGTGTTACATTGTACAGTGGCATGATGTGCATCTCTGCCTTCCCCTTCGGGAATAAAAGGCGTGATGTTATGTTTATGTTTGTTAAGTCAAGAAATTTTTCGGTTCTTTAGTCAAAACAAATTGACGAAACATTCTATAGATTATAGATAAATAATAAATATATCATGAGTTTGTTAAACATTTGTTCATGAATACGTTTAAAGTTGATACAATAGGTATGTTTAGACTATTTTAGACTTCTCATAAAGTAATTGTTTACAATAATGTGTCATTTAGTTTTCATCTTTGTTGAATTATTATTGTTGGTGACATCTTTACAAGTAAATGTTGCTAGGAAATTGTTAGTATTATCATTAATCATGTTTTATTGTCTATGTTACATTTGCTAGAAATGTTTTTAGACTAATCGTTTTTTATAGGAATAAGTTATACTATGTTATAACTTAAAAGTATGTTTAGTTACATATTTATGTATTATTTATAATAGATTTATGTATTTATTTACGCTATGCTCTTAACATCATTTTTAACGCATGATTAACTTTTCAATCTTTTATTATATATCCATATCGCTTTCTTCTTACTAACACAATGAGCTAACAAGGTAACACATTGTAGTTTTAAGTCATAGACCTAATTTAAACATAATTAGTCACTTTTTTGTTCCTACAAGTCGTGTTTTACATCCAAAATAGTTCGTATGATTTTTTTACACAATTTTCATAAAAAATCATGATGTTCTAAAAAACTGCTGTTAGATAAATCCTCCTTGCTTTAATCCTCTTTGGCACGCTTTCTTTTGTTTTTTTTTTGTTTACGGTGGGAATCACTTGTACGCACCAATCGCTCGCTAAATGTGCTGTCTCTTTCCATTTACTCACGTATTTTAAATCCATCCTGCTCTGTTGATTATTTTATAAAGAAAATGTCCATAAAAATATTTCATTCTACATTTTCTTCTGTAGAAAAACTATAGTTTTACTAGTTTACCAGTAAATCTGCTGAAAATCGCAGAATAATGTATTAGTAATTCGTTTTGAGTGTTTTTTCATGGATTTAGAATATAATCGATCACCTAACGTCATTAATTAAGGGCTTTAATACGCTGCTTCTTTGTCCATAACTTTGACCCATACAGAAAGTCTGGTATAAAAATAACAATAAAATCATATCACAGGCTTTTGCAACTAAAACGATCGAAGTACTGTAAGATTTAGAAGTAAACAAATCTTGATAATAATGTAAAGCAGTTTATTTGAAAATATATTTGTTGACACGACTTTTTGTTTCCATAGTATCATTATTGTAGTTCATCAGTACATCAACAGCACAGTATTTTAGTGACCGCGTGATGCTTCTCAGATGTCTGTCGACTGTCTCCGCGTCTTAGCCTCGGGATAGTAAGCAAATAAGAGTTAATATGCTAGTTGTTACATTAATTGTTGCATCATGCAGGATCAAATTACTCGATTACTCGTAAGATAAATAGAGCGTATTTGGCTCTAGTTTGTTTACTTTTCCGTGGTGTATGGTGATGAGGTGTTCTGGCAAAGACAGTGGACCGTCACCTGCGAGGTGTCACGGTATGCGAGTGAGTAACGGTGCCCCCCGCCCCGTCCCCTCCCCCTCCCTGGTCCCGTCCCGCCCCGCGTGTTGTAGCCGGCGCCCCCGCTGAGCGCGTTGGATGGTTGCAGAATGATGTGGACGCGCCGTCCCCGGCCCCGTCGGAGCGGCCATCCGTGCCGTCCCTCACGTCGCTGGAGCACGGAGGCGGCGGCGCGGCGGACGGCGCAGGCGCGGGCGTGGGGCGCGCGTGCGGGCCGCTGGCGGGGCTCGGGCCCCTCGGGCCGCTCGCGCTGCCGGCGCTCGAGCCGCGCGCCTAGCCCCCGCCGCAAGCCCGCCACCGACCTCAACGAGAACTGCTGCGCGCCCGCGTCGGACGAGGCCCCTTGCTGATCGTTCTGGACCTCTAAGCGCCGTTGAACTCGAGTGAAAGCTTTCCGAGCTTATTTCCTAACGGATTCTCGTCGTAATAGTTGCCGTTTTAGCGTGTATCCGATGTGTTTCGACAACTTTGATGCTATCGTTTGTGTAGATGGTGTTGGTGCTCAACCGTTTGTCGTAGTGAAGATTTACGTTCGATGAACATGTGATAGACCACCGCTAGGCAGTAGGAGCTGGCCGCGCAGCCGACGGTCCATTCAGAGTTGTCGACTGATATGTGTTAGTTCTCCAGTCTTTGTCGTCGTTTCTTGACTCGATATTACTTTAATCACATTCCTGCTCATGACCTTTGCACGTCTTAAGATATACCTAATGTAACAAAAATTGTAAGTTTTAAAATCTCAAAAATATAGCAAAATTTGTAAATCTTTGAAGTTTGAACAGGAGTGATAACTGTATTAGTGTTCAACATTTGTTGCCCGTTGAGTGTAGGCGCGTATAACTGGCTATTTTATTTACGTAATTGTAGTTTTAAGGTATGTTGAAGTCTGCGCTCAACGAGCTCATCGCGAATGTCAACATTAGAGGGTATTTGAAAGCGAAGAAATTTTTAAGTGAAATTTAGCCTTAACTACCTATTTGTTTTAGGATGACTGAAATAAGATTTCTGACATGCTTAGTTCAATGTTAACTTTGCAACAAAATAACGAATAACATTTATTCGTACCGAAGGACGTAATAAAATTTCATTTCATTGTAACCAAAGCATTCAGAAACTATATTTTAGTCAGTATTCGGAGACTGATAGAATTTTTAGCATTAATTTATTACTTTTAATTTTGTTTTAATTCCTTTTACATATGTGCGTTCTATCAGTCTTTGCGCTGTGTACACCCAGGTAGACTTTAAAATCGAAATAAATATTTGTTTTGAAATTAATTAAATACATTATGAATTGTGGTTAGCTTCAATGGTTTGCTACAGTTTGACCTGCGTGTATATATGCGACCTTTTAGGAACGTTTCCCTAAAGCTGGTGAAAAGAAAAAAAAGTAAATGAGATTCTAAAAGTATGATGTATGTAATTCCCAAATTACAATGTGTTCATTGTATACCTAGAGTTTGCTAGATTAGCGCGTATAAGCTCGTCATGTCTTCGAGTCGTGTTCAAAGTAAAGAATCGATAAAATTCGATGTATATAATCTTAGTAAATGTAATCGATTTTGATTAGTATCGATGATGTTTCCATTCCTTTATAAGAAAAACATTAACAATAATCTCGATTATGAATTATTCATTTTCCAGTGTATTTTTTGGAAATATTAAAATAGTTGTTTATTATCTTGAAGATGCATACGATTTTAATTGTAATGATTAAATTATTTTCAGTGTAACAATAAATCGGTTGACACGTCAGATTATTTGATTGCGATTCCCTGCGTCGACTGTTGTCTTTTATATTATTTTATTATACGATTGATGGCAGTTCTTTTTTTAAATCTGTATTTAATTTTTTTACTTTAATTTGTACTCTACTCGAACAAAATACAACAGAATGTGACATTGTTTTTTTAATTTTGTTTTCTTATTTCAAATTAACAAGTAATTTTATCATACCTAATTATAATTTTTTCAGAACAGAATCTAAATTATTCCAGAATGGTTAACGAGAAAATATTCTATGTATAGTACCAATACGTAAAAACTAGTTTTTACAATACACTCCTACGTATAATGAAATTTAATTGAAAGTAAAAAAAAATATAGTCTTACAGACTAATTACTTGGTTTACTAACCATATACGGTCAAAAATATTTCTTAAATACAAGCTAAATATTGCAAAAAGTAGTTTTGGAGATGCCGGGGATCGAACCCGGGGCCTTTCACATGCAAAGCGAACGCTCTACCACTGAGCTACATCCCCGTGTGATTACTATGTCCAAATACGGCACCATGTGTGTTGTACTATATTCACTACCTATATATATATATTACATTTTTTTTACCGATTCGTAATAAACTGATGTATGTTTTTTGACGAAGCATACGCTGTGTACCTGTGTACCCTTATATAATGTATATGAGAAGATGACTCATGAAAAGGTAGGGAATTAAATTTTATTTAAGAGTTACCTATATTTGATAAGAAAACCAATTTAAGCCTTTGACTGCCGACGGAAAACTGTTAAAGGCAAATCCTCCGCCAACGTAGGTCTCCGGTGATCTACGATTGGTTTTTAATTTTTTTAATCACAATCGCTAAACGTACATAAAATGTCCAGCTATACAAAATCAACGAAATGAGATTTGCTATATCGGAAGTGGTTGTCATTGATCCAAGCTTTTTGTGCAAATGATAAGCATTAAATCTACTACCTACCTATTCTGGACAGTAACAAGCAACAAACGTAAAAATACATATTTATGTGCTAACACACAGTAAAAACAATGTAGTCTATCTTGAATATACTTCCATAGTTTTTGTCAGCGAATGCGATTACGAAATATGTGGTAAGTATGTAAGACTTTAGTAAAAAAACGTTCAACTATGCTTCGGAATCTTAAGTGATCATGTTATAAGGTAAAGTTATAATCAGACTTGCAAATAACATAACCATTTACTAACAAATGTCCTCTGTCGTAAATTCCGACATGAGCTGTCTACTTACGTGCAGAATTAAATTAGGTTTGCTGTCCACGACGCGATATTTGACGAATGCATGCAACCTACAAATTACGGTAGGCAGTTTTGTATGAGGAGCGACGCAACGTAGCCGCTTCGTTAACAGCTTTAAAATTTTTTTTAACATAACATCACGCCTTTTTATCTCCGAAGGGGTAGGCAAAGTTGTACATTATGCCACTGTACAATAACACCTCTTCTCACGCGAGAAGGTTTGAACATTGTCGTAGTGGCTGCGTGACCAGCTCCATAGTAACAGGTTTAAGATTTTTTCAATCACTTAGGATTGAGTTTAGGCTTTTTTGCGCGTCGTCCTGGATTCTGGTAATTCAGTGTTAAGAATGTCTGCCGGAAGTCACTATTCCACGCGGATGAAGTCGCGGGCAAAAGCTAGTATTTTTACATTTTGAAGCTCTTTCAATAGTGGCGTGTATGGAATCGCCTTCATTTTGAGTGTGGCCTACTTCAAGAATCATAACAGCAAAGAAATTACCCTTTATGGAAAGTTTTTTCACATTAGTCATTTGTACACTGCGTATGGGCATTTGTAGGTTGCATGCCTTCGTCAAATGACGCGTCGTAAATAGTAGCCATTTCAATATACATTTATGCGGTAGGCTCGTGGAATTAGCAGACTAGACCAATAAAGATAGGCAATTGTTGAATAAGAAAAACAATAAGCCTTGTTTGGGCTTTTTCATAATACAGGAACCGATGGGCGGTCAGGTAGGAGTGAGCTACTAGTGGTTCTCATTGGTTCGAGTGGTAGTGTAATCTCAGGGTGACTTTGATACGAATTTGCTTTTCAAACTTTTTTATTAATGACAGGTGAATATCAGTACAATTATTGATCTACCGAAAGTTCAAATACTGAGATCTTTTATCGCTTGCTCTGGCGTTACCTACGTGATTATAATTTTGCTATAGTAATCAATAGCAAACTATCTCAGTGAGTCCATATTTTTTAAACAAAGCAATCGGATCTCTTTAGCTTAACCATGCAAGTATATAATATGATTCTAGTATTGTAAATGAGAAACTCGTGGTAGTGGTTTTATAAACGTAATGTTTTGCAGCCTCGCTATTCTAGGGTCTTTATCTAAAATCTCCCAAGATCCAGGGTTTCAACTAGGTAATAGCACGTGCCATTTTAGTCATCTCACTTAATCTCTATTTACCGATCAGATTGACGGGAAAATCAACTGGTTTACGACATACTGAATATTTACATTGTGTATAACAAAAAGGTTCTGATTGTAAATTGAGATAGGTAAACGCAAAGGTAGGCAAGTACTTTTTTTTAATTCATACGATTCCTTAGGTTGTTGTTACAGGTAAATAATATACAATCGTAGATTAAAATTAATACTTTATTAAACATTTCTAAAATACTTTTTTGATTAATAAATCATAACAAGAATATATTCATATTTAATGTTAAGTTATACTTAAAATAGATTTGTATAACGACATACATTGACTAGGCATTAAAACATAAGCAATAATCTCAGAGATTACATTGTAGTTCATTATTTAAATGATGAATTGGAAATTCCTTATGGCAACAAGAAACGATAAGTAGTAAAATAAACCTAGTAACAAATACGGAAATACGTTTAAGCACAACACATGATTGATTCAATAACAGTTAAATGCGGCATTTACCAATAACCATATTCAAATAAATATAATTATTACAAATTACAAGTTTTCAGTATTAATTGATTAATTTCTAGCGTAATATGCTACCGCCATCTATAATGTAGGACGAGCCAGTAATACTCTTTGCTTTGTCACTGGCCAAAAACGCAATCAAAGCGGCAACTTCATCGCCTTCCACTGCTTTCTTCAGAGGCATGTTACCAACCACATTGGCAACAAACAAAGCCAGTTGTTCCTCACTCAATCCAATGTCTTTCAGCAGGTTAGTTTTCACAAATCCTGGGTTCACTGAGTTGACCCGAACGCCATCTGGTGCTAACTCTAACGCAACACATTTCGTGAAGTGATCTAATGCGGCCTTCGATATGTTGTACGCTAAGGCCATCGTACTGGGCTTTGAACTTGAAATGCAGGAAGTGTTTACAATACAACCCTTGCTCTGAATGAGATGCGGTGTCGCGAGCATCGTCAAATGGTACACAGACCTCATGTTTGTGTTCATAACTTTGTCGTAAGTTTCCATAGATGAGTTCTTAATGCCTCCCATTCCGATAACACCGGCGTTGTTCACTAAAACGTCTAGTTTTCCATAGTGTTCTATTGTTTCATTTATTATTCTTTCAGCGTCAAGTTCTTCAGTGACGTCGGCGATGATAGCAAGAGGTTTTATACCTTTAGTTTTCTCGCAGTATAGGGCTATTCTTCTGAGGTTTGTTTCTTTGCGGCCGACTAGGGCGAGTTTCGCTGATAGTTTTGATAAATAAATGGCTGTCGCTGCTCCAAGGCCGGAACTGGCCCCCGTAATTAGGAACACTTTGTCGCTAAAGTCCATATTGTTCAATTTGTTTGGATTGTGTTTATTAACTCAAGGCCGAACAGCTGTTTTACGCGGACAAGCGTCGAGTTGACGCGCTTGCGTAAACCAAACTGATATGGAATGTTGCTAGTAGGTATTTTATGAATACCTACTACTTATGGAAGTATTCAGAGGTTCACATAATTTTGTCGTTAGTAATAATTTCTGAACCGATGTAATGACTATTTTAACATAAAGATGTTTATGCAGGTAGGTGTGAGGAATCTGGTGCAGTGTGGGTGCCTGCTGACTAGGAATTAATACATTTGTACCTAGCGGAAAATATGGATCCTGTTGATTTTATTTTAGTATAATAACTGTGGTATTTTATTTAATACACGTAAGACGGTATATCTACATGTAGATACCTACAACAGATAGGTAAAAGCACAACCTACCCAGTAAAATTTGGGTTCAAAAAAGATTGAACGTTAATTGGCTTATTAGTAGGTATATTTAGTTGGTCAAAAAGAAAATTAGTGGCTGATATGATCACGTCTTTTCTACATAATGTGCCTTTTCTTCACCATTTTAAAGTTATGGATAAAATACACATCCTCTATTTTACAGGCCATACTTAAGGCTACTTATTTAAGGAACTTTAAGAAGGATTGAAGATTCTTAACCTCTTGATACAATAAATTATTATGAGAATACCGAAATAGTAGAATTATCCATAAGCAGGCAACACTAATGTAAACTGACAGCCAACCGCGCAAGCGCAGATTGAACACCGCCGACACCACGTGATCACGTGATTCTGATGTAAATAAATCGCGGTTTTGTCCTCTCCATGTTTGTGCACCTCTATTCAATATGAATGACGACGTTGATATTTTGGTTACTATTGATAATTATTTGGTTATTAGCATTTTAAGTATTTTATTAATTGGACTACAATAAAAAAAACAGGGCAGAATTAAAATTACAGTATAGATACTGTAATTTTAATTCTTCCCTGTTTTTTTAGTTTTAGTTAGAACTAGGTACTATTTTATTAAGGTTTTATTCTTTATAATTTTATTAACGTTCTCCACACAAATAGCAGATGTTTAATCCTTACAGGTATCTACTTAATTACATTTCAAGAAGTAACTAGGTACAAAATAAGACAAAATTATATAGGTAGGTATCTACATTGCGGGGAGCGTAACGGACAGTTAAAAAGTGGGCACAAAGCAGTCTACATAAAAATGGAAAGGAAGTTTAATTATTATTATCTAATAGTTAATTAGATCATAATAGGAGGAAAAGGTAGGGCTTTTAAAGAGAAACGCACTGAGTCTTTTAAACGGTAAATATTTCATTACATTTTTATAAGGCGCTTTATTTATTATGTGTCGTGTGCGTTTATACGCAGGTTGTTTGTGAGAGAAAGCCTTATTATCGTTACACCTAATACTGTTGTACATATACTATATAAAAATAAGTCGGGTTTTCCTTCCTGACGCTATAACTCCAGAACGCACGAACCGATTTCCACGGTTTTGCATTCGTTGGAAAGATCTCGGGCTCCGTGAGGTTTATAGCAAAGAACATTCAATCGTTTGATTAAAATTTAATTGATTAAAAGAATAACATAAAAAGAAGCTACCTGGTGGCGAAACCTAGTTCGTCGGGTTTGCTAGGTATGCTATTTTAATAATTTTTACCAAAAATACGTAAGTATACGACGGTAAAAACGTACATAACATCACGCCGTCATATTTTTAACCCCGAAGGGGTAGACAGAGTGGCACATTACGACACTTAATGCCACTGTACAATGTAAAACTCGCCTTTTCACTATTTATGTTATGAGTCCCATGTAATAGGGTGTGAGCCTATTGCCATATACCGGCCACAATTCTAGCCTCCGTGCTACCACTGAGGATTTTTTAAAAAGCCTAGTAATACTTTGCCCGGCTCGGGAATTGAACCGAAATTCCTTGCCCGGCAGTCGCACTTGCGACCACTCGGCCAACCTAGGTAATATTTGGTCTTTATTATTTTATTATCTGTCTACTATACAAGGCTACACTTACAATTCCCCTTACAGTACTCGTAGGACCTCCACGAAGGATATTTCCCCAACTAATCCAGGTTCCTATTGATACATAAATTCATGTTGTCATTTATCGTGAATAACGGATTGGCTCGTGTGCTTGCCCCCACGAGGTTGACCTCAGTTGACATAATGATTTACAGAAACTAAACTATCGGCTACAAACGTGACCGCGGCAGTATGCAAAATTAAATGTTGTTCTATTGTTTATGCCTTTTTTTATTTTAAATTCATTGTTCCGGTTTTTGTATTTGAATTTGGAACAAGCTGTAGCTATACAGTGCTGACGTTGAGAGTATTTTTTATTTCATAGTTTAGTATTGTCTGTTTGTAGTGATAATATATACTTTGTTCGTAAGATCACAATCATATCAATGTTTTAATAAAATTCTGATTTATTGTAAGTTTTGTTATTATCTTTTAAATCTATTTGCGAGTAAAGCAAATATGTATCTATAAAGTACGTATTTAAATTTTAAATTCAGCAATCCAAATCTGTTGACCACTATGTTAATATCTTATCTAGATAGATAGTCCGTCCTTAAATACTGCCTATGTTTATCTATTTATGAAGCTAGGAGCCTAGGAAAAACAATTTAAACGTGCATTAAATGTAGAAACTAAATCATGCGATATCCGTTTCTGGGCCAAGCCATTCGTCTTAGGACCACATTTACATATAAAACATTCCAATATATCAATTCGGCCTCGAAATGCAATTTGTGAATGGTGGCCATAAATAACTATTTTCTATTTGACACACGGCGACCCTTCGTTTAGGTTGGCAATACCGTGGTCTGTTTTCCCGCCATTATTTGACAGATGTGTTTCGTTCGGTTGGTAACCGTAAAGGATTTTTCAAGCGGCTCCAAAATCAAATCAAGTGTGAAATTCAATTGGACGCCCATAAATATTGTTGCTTTGAAAAATGTTGCATTGGTTGGGATTTTAGTTTCTGAAGTGAGAAATGTTTTTTGTTTTGTTTCCGTACCTAACTATATTTTCAGTAAGGTATTTTTACTGCCTGCACAATATCCATTCTCATTCACACTTTTTTAAATAAGATACGAAAATTAATGTCACGAATGTCGCCTTCAAAGGACTTACGTAATTATGATTGTGATGCAAAATGAAACGCTCTAATATCTTCAACCCAAAATGCTATTAATTCCTTTACACCGTGTAAATAAAAAATCTATCACCCTATTTTGTTCAAATGGGCTCAATCTCTCAACGGATTGACAGCGATAGATCGTTGCAGGCAGACTTTATTTCAAGTCGCGGCGTTTGTATAAAACATTCAGCTTAATGTGGCTTCGCAAAGCATGGCGCAGTTAGTGGGATGTATAGCATGGTCCCACTGATGTATAGTGTAATCAGAAAATTGCCGGCCAATGTAAGTGCGGATATAAGGATATTATAGAAAATGTTTCGCATGTTAATTGTTACAAACATTAGAGGGAAGCTGAATGGTTCTTGACTAATGGTACTTTGAGTGTGTACTTGTTGTTTCTTACTTTCATTAAATTAAACAAGTTAAAAGATAAAGAAACCTTTTTTTTACATAAGTAGGTACCTAAGCATCTTTTTGAACAAAATTAGTGAATATGTAACGCAAGTAAATATACTATTTTGACACTTAAAAATCACAAAACTTTTAATCTTTTTAAAACTTATGTTACGCCAGATAGCACTTCTTTCTATATTTTAAGGTAGCTACAAACATATATCTACCTAAGTACAACCTATTATTTGTTTAATTGCCAACAGTTAAATAGTAAAGAAACACGTAAATTGTAAAAGGTATTTCTTAAATTCGAAATTGTCGAGTCGAGGGTCCTTAAATTAAATGTAAATAATATACAATTTGTAATTAAAACAGAGCGCCAGAGAATTTTTCTCAATTCCGCCGCGATCCAATAAAGAAATGCAAATTAGGTGCGGCCAAGAGTTATTACTTTGTAGTGATGGGGCCGCTCGATAACGTTTATGTCGATAGTCTGTTTTTTGCTGTCTGTCAAGTATAGCTGATTCAGGGGTGATTTGATATCGAGTATGGAGATTAATTTTAGTGAATAAAGTAGGTTTAATTAAACATATGCCCGACAATATGCTGGCAATTACAACATTACTTATTGTGCTAAAAATGTAAAGGTAAAATTGTTTGTCGAATTGAGTAGATATCTAGTATATTTTTTTAGTAATATTAATTTTAAAATCAAATTCTATTCAACATGAATCCCAATTTACACGTTCTACATTCATCTGTGACGGTTAAACTCATAAAATTTTTCATTCATTTATGAACAAATATCGTTTTCTATGACACAGGTAAATAAAAGTCGATATGTTTTCCCAACATCACTAAATTAAACCCCCGGTGTCGATTGTAAAAAAGTTTTTACAGCTAATTCGGGTTGCTCCAACACTAATTCTACACTTTACGGCCACGCACAGACATTGTCAATCTATCCGCAAATGAACAGCCATCAAGCAGCCATCTTTGTTTTACTGTCAAACTGTTTATGGCTTTTGATTAGCTTTATATTTGCTTACAAGATTTGTTTTTAAAGTTAATTCTGGCACAGGACGTCCTGAGGGGCCGGTAGAATAGCTTTAGAAAATGGTTCTGACATTAAAAATCTATGCCTGATAGGTAAGTTGTATGTAATTGTAATATGTAGAATAAATATTATGTTGTACCTAATACATTGCGCAGAAACAAAAAGAAAAAAATAAGTCTGTGTTTTTGAACCGAAAGAGATACCGACTGGGCAAATTGTGAGTTAAATATTATTTTACATTATTATCTATATTTTAGTAGGTTTCTGATTCATAGTAGGATAAGTCAGTACCTACTTACTTTGAGCAAACCATTTTAACCATTCATTGCATAACGCGTTTTCCTTTAAATAATTATGTTATCGCGAAA